GCCGTGCTGCACAGCGGGGCTGGGCAGGGTTCCCACGCTCGGGCCGTGTCCTCACTGCGCTCCCGGAGCTCAGCGCGGCACCGAGGTGCCCAGCTCCTGCCATTTGGCACTTCCCTCCCCTTCCCGGCCACTGCTGGAGCATCCTCACAGTCTGGGGCCTCTTCAGGCTCATTCCTGACCATGCACTCGCCTAAATAACTATTAATGACATATTCTGAGTTACAGAGTGTCTGATCCTGCGCTGAGCTCCAGGGAATCCACCCACACAGAGCTCTCCGGGTCTGGAACCAGAACTGCTTGAGTTGCCTGCAAATAAGAACTTGCTTTTCATCTACAATTGAAAAGTCTGCTTTGGGAAGAGGTCTCCAACCAACAGCCGTGAGTGAGAGATGCCAATTCTTCCACTTAGCCCTGGATTTTCAGGCCCAGCTACCTGGAAAATTCCCGTTATTGGTTAATCAGGATTAGAACTGGCTCGTGAACCTCCTTCCCTTTGGATAGTGCAGGAGGGAAAGGGGGAGGAAGAAACAACAAGGCCAGGCTGTGCAGGTCCAGAGGCACGAGCTGGATCCACCCTGGAGCTGCTCTGGGCAGTGCCCATCCCTGGGGCACAGAACACCTGGAATTGTGTCCTGCCTGTGCCTGCCAGGGGAGCTGGGCACCACCGAGACCTCAGCTGCACACCACAGCACAAGGAAACATCTGCTCCCTCTGCCCCCTCACTCCCAGCTCGTGGAAGGGTCTATGCAACGAGAACATCATTAATTAACCAAATTTTTTCACACAAATTGAGAGGGAATTGTAGTTTAGGGTGATATTCTGGAACCTAAAGAAACCAACCACCCACTCTCAGGGCGCTGGCAATAGGGTGATATTCTGGAACCTAAAGAAACCAACCACCCACTCTCAGGGCGCTGGCAAGAAGGTGTATAAATTGATAGCATTGATTTCAGTTACATTGAGACATAAGTTGGTTTAATAATAAAAAACCCACAAATTAATGAAGTTAAACACCTGTGCATTAGGTTCAGGATGGAAACACTGATGCAGTCATTCATTATATCATATGATGGCTAAACTAAATAAAGATAATAAAGAAAGGTTATGACTGTTTAGAAAAGGTGGCTTTAGTCCTTTCATATCAGCGCCAGGGCAAGGGAATCTGATATTATATCCTGAACAGAATTTACAATTCATTACTGGGGCTCTGGCCACACCCGGCAGCTAATCTAGAATTTCACACATTTAATGAACTTCATACATGAAATATGTGGTCTGTAAAATCTGATTTACACTGTTGTTAAAATAGCTGGCGTTTGAAAGAGAATATATTTTAAACTATGTATTTGTGCACAAAGTTTGTTGTGTTTTTTTTCCTTTCCAAAAAACCCCAAACCCAGTCATTAATTCACCCCAACACATATAAAACCTTCCCCACAGTGTAATTTCTGCTGCAGTATTTCTTTCAGCACCTCAGATTTACTCCCCACGTTTCTTTAGGAGCACGCAGTCCTGCAGAGGGGCAGAGTCCCGCTGTGACCAGAGGCACTTCAGCCCCTAAGTCAAGCTGACAAGCCAGCCCTGATGGAGTGCAGGGGCTGTAATTAGTCCTTACCTGCCACCTCTATAAAGCCCCACATTAGGCCAGGCCTGCCTGGGCCGGGCTCTGCGATCCCAGCTCAGCCAAGCGTGTCAGCTTTTTATTGCATGTTAACACCTGATATTTCCTGCGGGCCCTGCTGTTACCCAGGGCTTTGTGGCATGATGTTCTCGAGGGCTGGAGTGGGACAGGGATGAGCTGGGGCTGTGGAAACCAGAGCTGGCTCCTGCTGGGGAGAGCACACGGGCGCTGGAGGGAAGGGCTGGCACCCACGTGTGAAACACAAGAGGTTCCTTTCTTTTGAAGGCGATTTATGGAGAACACGGCGCTTGTAAGAATTAGTTCCACGCTTCAGTAATGAGCGCTGGCAAGGATTCAGCTGGGGCTTGAACAAAAGCTGAGGATTGTGTGAGGGTGGGTGAGTGTGACCTGTTCCTTTACATCAGCCCTGGGTCTTCCAGCGAGACACCAACACCGTGCTCACGTTCCATCTGCTCTGGGAAGCTCCTCTCCTCAGGGGGCAGAGCTGCAAACAGAGATTTCCCTCAGAGAATTTGTCTTCTGGGGTGTCTCCAGGAAAGACCAGGTATTAGAACTTGACAGAGAGAATGCTGATCCTTATAAGTGTGCCTTTTTCTTCCAAACCCTAATCTCAGATTCACACGGGTGCAGAGGAGTTCTGCCCCTGTGGGCACCATCCCTCGCCCTCCCCAGAGCTTTTCTGAGCTGTTTTCCCCATGGCAGTGACACCATTGCTGCTGGAGCAGGGAAATGCTTCAGTGAGACCATTACAGGGCATTTGATTTGTTCTTGCTTTTAATAGGAGTCCTGGTCAATGTCAACTTGCATCACTTTTCGTCACAGGGTGGAGATATCCGTACAAAAGGACCCTGAGGTGAAGCAGAAGCAGCAGAGGACAGAAGTTCCACACCTCAGCCCAGCTCTTTGGAGCAGATGTGGAGCACATGAGTGGATGTGCTGCCTGCCAGCAGCACAGGGCAGGACATCCCTGTGTCCCACTGCCACCCAGACGTGCTCAGGGTGTCCTGAGCTGAGCACAAGAACCCAGCACGGCCCCTCACCTCCACTCCTGCTCTCTTTATCCTCTGGGTAACTCTGCTTTTACCCTGGTAAACAACTCTCTGGGTATGGGTAAGCTACCCAGAGTGTACATTTAAAATAAAATCTGTTTCACATAAAAGGACAAATGAGAACGACTATTACCCCCATCTTTACTGCGTTAAATTCTTTTGCACAGATTGTTCTTGTTACTACTCCTTTCTGAGAGAATCTGAAGAGCAGACAATATTCTGCCTTACGTGGACAATTCCAGCAAGCCAAGAGCTTTAAAGTGGGAATGCAGTGATTTTAAAACTCTTTTTTTGTAACCCTCTCAGGTCTTGGGCCACAAAGGGAGGAAGAGCAGCAGAGGGCAGGATATTTCTCTCATAGCCTGATCCTGCAAGATGCTCATCATCTCTAATTGCAGCAGCAAAATTTTGGAGATGTGCCACATAACCCAGAGAGCACCACAGCACCCAGAGAGTTTGAAGACCATCAAATGCTCATGGCCTAAGGAAGCCCCAGCACTGGACAGGTGCTGGACACTCCAGCTTTCCATCCATTTCCTGAGCAGCTGCAGAGGTGCCTTCCCTGCTGCTCTGACTCTCACAGCTCCCACAGCCACTCACCTTTAACATTTAGCACAGCTCTGATTTGGATCTGCAGTTCCAGAAGACGACAGAAGAGAATCCAGTGAAATGTTTGGATTTGGGTTTATCAATATCCCCAGCCAGGTTTATAAAGCCTGCAGTCACATTTCTCATTTAAAACCAGACATCTGAATACTCTGTGGAAGAAGGAACTCTCCTGCAAGATTAGCTCCCATGTTTAAGGTGCTGAGAAAGTCTCATCATCAGGACAGGAACACTTCTCTGCTTTGTGTGCTCTGCCTGTGGGGCCAGCCCAGACCACAGGTTCCCTCTGGCCCCATCTCCTACCTGGGAAAGGGGAGCAGGAGCACTTCTCTCCCCCTGGGGAAGATGCAGGAGAACATTTGATGCCACAGCAATGTGGGGGAGAGGAGGCAGTGGCAGTGCCTGGAGCCATCAGAAGGTGAAGACAGAGCAGATCAGCGAGGTTTTCCTCTCTCTGAATGGTTCACAGTGCAGGGAGGCCTCTGCAGCTCCATCAGGGTCAGAGCACACCCAATTCCAGCCAGCACCTATTCTTTCTTCTCAGAAAAAAGGCAAATCAGAGACACACCAGTGTATAATACAACCCCAATTTGAAAAACAAGGCCACTGGCATTCTCTGGTAAAGCCCAGGCTGAAAACTTACCCAGGATGTGTGATCTTCCAAAAATCTGCCAGCCCCTGCAGTGTTCAAACTCCTTGCATGACCACAGCCACATGAAGAATGAAATGAAACCCCATGGAAATCTTTGACATTTCTACTATTAGGCAATGTTTGGGTGAAAAAAAAAAAATTGCTGAAATTCTCCTTCCCTTCCAGAGTGAGTTTAGAAAAACTATTTCTAGCTTTTTTTAATTACACATTTCACCATTAAAAAGAAACCATCCATAAATTAAAGGAACCACTAACCAGGGCTTATGTAACCCATTTAGAGTGGGAAATTGGTAACATTTGGGAGCAAAGTCTGTTCCTGTGATTTCTGGAGTCTACACCATTCATTTGATGTGTGCAGACATCACAAAAATGGTTTATTTGATATTTGCATTAATTACTTTATACCAAAAAAAAAAAGTTAGTCATTAAAAAGGGCATCTGTGTAGTATAGAATCTAAAAGAAACACTTCCATAGATGGTCAGTGATCTGAGGGATGGTTTATCACTGCCTTCAATAAACAGTCTCCCAAGTTAGAGATTTACTTTATCCAATTGCACTCTTGATTTTCTTTTAAAAACAGAGTGTTTATGGCTCTAATACATTTTTGGTAGAAAATCGCTTCACTGTGTTTGCACTCAACATTATTGACGTGTCCCCTGTGGAGAATATTCAGTGTTAAACCCTTCCTCTGCCCCTGTTCCCGGCCCTGGGACTGCTCTTGTGCCGAGCCACTGGCTGAATCCAATGGCCAAGGGATGAGAACATTCCCAAAATAGCTGTTCCTAATGCTGTTGCATCACTGCTCTTCCCAGGGCAGGATATATCTGTGTTCCAATGAAAATCCCCTCCTGATTCCCAGCAGTGGCTGCCAGCAGCAGTGACCACCCCTGTCACAACCCAACCCAGCTCTAGGAAGAGTTTAACCAAGCAGCTCTGCTCATTTCTTGGCTGTGCATTTCCCACACACAGGTTAAAGGCCCACAGCACAGATCCTGACAATTCCCACACACAATTCCTGGCTGAACATGCCAGGACTGACCAGCTGCATCATTCAGGGGGGAAGTAAAGAAGTTGCATAAAATTTATTTTTTCCACCTTGTTTTACAACATTCCCTTTTAAGTTCTTACACATCTGCGACATGTAACTCCACAGAACAATAAATAATTGGCATTCATATTTCTCTTGACTCAGGAGTATTTACAGGTTCTTTAGCTGGATGACAGGTACAAAACATCGGCATCACAGTAAATACCATTTTGACACCAGAATTCATTTCCCCATTAAAAATTAAATTAACTTAACACTGATTTTTAAAACAACTTTAACAATTAAAAATGTTCTCAAAGGCATATAAGTACACAAGTTGTTGTAGGCAGTAGTAATGGACCATATTGGCAAAGCTGTGAACCACAGGATTTCATGCAAATCATAGAGTTTAACACTCATGAAATAACTAATAATAAATGTATTTATTATGAGGAGGAATAAATATATATTTATTTATTATGAGGAGCCCATCCAGCTCCCGCTGGCCCCAGACACCGTGGGATGAGCCCAATGCCACAGGAACAGCTTGGGCCACTGAGCTGCAGGGGTCACATCCCTGGGGCAGGGCTGTGCCTGTGCAAACCAGGGGGTTTTAAGCAGCAGCTTTCTCACACCTGAACCCCTCAGAGCAGCTTGAGGGATTCCCCTGGACTGGGGGTCCCCCATAACCCAGCTCCCCTCGGCAGCTCCAGAGCTCGAGGCTGGCCGGGTTTGGCTGGGATTGGGGAGCACAGGAAAACCCCTCTGGAGCAGCTCCCAGCACAGCCCTCGCCCCCAGGGACACCAGGGACACCAGGGACACCAGGGACACCAGGGACACCAGGGACACCAGGGACACCAGGGACACCAGGGACAGTGCTGCCCTCCCCTCAGCCAGCTCTGATCACACCCTGCACAGCCTGGAGCTGCTGAATGCACCACGGGCTGAGCTAAAGACATGTGTGCACACATCAACAGGACAAGCTCTGTGGGGAGAGAAATCCAGAGAGAAGGGGACAGAGAGGGCTGTGACACACCTGCAATTACTGCAGGGGGGCAGGAAGAGAACAGTGTGTGCCACAAAACCTCACCCTGCAGCAGCTCAGCACAGGCAGCAGGAACAGGGTGGGATTCACACAGAGCATCACCTGGAGCCAGGGGCAGCAGGAGCAGGGTGGGATTCACACAGAGCATCACCTGGAGCCAGGGGCAGCAGGAGCAGGGTGGGATTCACACAGAGCATCACCTGGAGCCAGGGGCAGCAGGAGCAGGGTGGGATTCACTCAGGGCATCACGTGGAGCCAGGGGCAGCAGGAACAGGGTGGGATTCACACAGAGCATCACCTGGAGCCAGGGGCAGCAGGAGCAGGGTGGGATTCACTGAGGAGCATCACCTGGAGCCAGGGGCAGCAGGAGCAGGGTGGGATTCACTCAGGAGCATCACCTGGAGCCAGGGGCAGCAGGAACAGGGTGGGATTCAGAGCATCACCTGGAGCCAGGGGCAGCAGGAACAGGGTGGGATTCAGAGCATCACCTGGAGCCAGGGGCAGCAGGAGCAGGGTGGGATTCACTCAGGAGCATCACCTGGAGCAGCCCCAAAGCACACAAGTCACACATGAACTGCTACAGCACATATCTCACACCGATAAAGGAATAGGAAGAACACTAAGGCCACAAACAAGATACTACACGGAAGAAGAAAACAATGCTTCACTCCCCAAAAGTACAAATTATGAGCATACTAGAGGAAAAGATGAGATGTCCAGCAGAGAATCAATTTATTTTAATGTACAGTAAATAGGAACACATGTATTAAATTTTGCTTTTAAAAACATTTTTAAATAACTTAAGAGAAATGGGTTGCAAACATAAAGTGCTAAACTTGAAAAACAGAAGTGTTCCTCTTTCCTGCTGTTTGCTAGATGGCAGTTTTAGTCTCTGACTGCTCTGAAAAATGTAGTGTATATCCAGGCAGAAATGACTTCCTGGATTTACTACCTTGTGCAAAAACATGAGCTGCAAAGAACATAATCCACACCCCAAAACACAGCTATAGATCACTATCAACTCTACTAAATATGCTACTAAAGTGATGATTCAACAAATACAGATGAAATCACAGTTCACTCCCTTTCTTGGTGTAAGCTAATAGTTTGCAAATATGGTCCACTCAGTGTAAACTGTATTGACTTGAGGAAACAGTGAATTCTACCATTTATATGTCTCAAATATTTACACACAGTAGCTTGGCACTGTTGCTGTTGCAGGACATTGAACCACCAACACACAGGAGAGAGGGACAGGGCCCCAGAGCCCAGAGGGACTGGGCTGCTCAGTCCCCCCCTGGGGCCAAAAGGAATTCTTGGTTCTTGTATTTAAACTAATGAAAGTAAATTAGGTGGGATATTGGGCAGGAATTCTGCCCTGGGAGGGTGGGGAGGGCTGGCACAGGTGCCCAGCTGGGGCTGTCCCTGATCCCTGGCAATGCCCAAGGCCAGGCTGGATGGGCTTGGAGCAGCCTGGGACAGTGGAAAATGTCCCTGCCAGGACAGGGGTGGCACTGGGTGAGCTTTAGGGTCCCTTCCAACCCAAACCATTCCATGATTCTGTGAAATGCTGTCTGGGGACTCCAGAACAGTGGCATGGCCAACGCCATCTAGTCCTGATGAAGACAATGTTAAGGGATCTTTCTGGAAAAACAGCATTGATTGACAGGAGGCTGTGAGCACAACTCCCAGAAAGGAGCTCAGGCTCTGCCCTGGGACAGGAGCTCAGGCTCTGGGACAGGAGCTCAGGCTCTGCCCTGGGGCAGGAGCTCAGGCTCTGGGGCAGGAGCTCAGGCTCTGGGGCAGGAGCTCAGGCTCTGGGACAGGAGCTCAGGCTCTGGGACAGGAGCTCAGGCTCTGGGCTCTTTCCCTCCTGTGCAGCCAGGGAACAACAGCACCAAGCAGTGCCAGCTCCACCCGTGGTTTCTCTGATGTGGGAAGAAGACAGCAAATAACTAATTTAGCACAGACTGAAGAGCCTTAGACAAGGATGGCTGCCACTAAAGGCCCATCCGTGTCTGATGCATCAACCCAGCTCCAAAAGGTCCCTGAACATCTCTGTCCTTCTGCTGAGAAGCCCAAGCACTTGTTGCTCTCCTCATGATAATGTAGACCAAAGCTTGTAATAATGACAGAACTCATTGAGTTGAATTTTTGAAAACAAAAAGCACATAAATTTGCTCTGCACACAAGCCTAATGCCTTGTATGAGCCCACTCCTGTGATTCAGGTTTGGTTTTTAGAACCAAGCAAGTGCAAGGCTCCAGAAACTGCCTCCCTGCAGGGAGCACGTCATTAAAACATCCACCTAGGAGTGCCTCTGCTTATTTGCAGCTCATCCTCAAAGTTTCACACTAACAGGAAACAGATTTCATGGAGCTGTGAGGAGTAGCAGCTCTGTGACCTCTCCTTTCAGTCTCCAAGGATTCAAGACACGTCTGCCACATTGTCTGCAGAACAGTACGAGTCTCTTCTCACGTTGTCGACACATTTCAAGGATGATCAACTGCAAAGTTCTGTTCCAAAGAGGATTTGCCTTAGTTTAGATAATTTTCTCCTACACAAATAAATACAGAGTAAAACTACTATGTCACCGGCTCCTTTTAACAGGAAGCACAAAAGCTAAACAAAACTGAATTTTCTCGTTTTGAGCTCCCAAAAAGAGCCTTTATCAATGGCTGGATACCTCCAAAATCACTGGGGTGACCACGTTTCAGCGGAAGGAAAATCTCAGACACGCTCAGATTCTCCAGTGTGTGTAGATCCGACAGGCTGGAGCCCCATTATGGAAACAACATGCCATAAATCAGGAATCAGCTGTCAGCAGTGCAGTGCATCACCTACATTAAGGGATTTCCAAGATGTAAAAAGAATGTGACTACTTGAAATCAAAAAGATGAATAACATAAAAAAATGTAACACAACGCAAAGGACAGCGCAGACACTTAAAAAATTCACTTTAAATTGTCAAATGTAAATCCCAAGGTCAGGTAGCAGCTTCCACAGACCTCGAACCATGCAAGAGAAACCCATTGCCATCGCAGTTCCATGCATTTGACCCCAGGTAAGTAGAACAAAAGTGCCAAGAACTGGATGAGCTCAGAGCCTCCACCCTGCAAACTCTTCTGGTGCTGGGTTGCCGTTCAGGGCAGTCTGAAGTGTCTCACTACAGCAGCAGGTAACAGAGATTACCACGGGCTCCTGGTGGGGACGGACAGCTGGGGGTGTCTCTGGGCAATGTCTGTCTCTGTGGGCCAGGAGCAGCCCTAGGACGTGAGCTTCGAGTAGCTGGGGGGAGAAAACCTCCGTCTCAGGTACTTGAGGACGTAGAGGGGCAGGCAGCTGACCAGGGTGATGACAGTGACCTTCCACAGGAACGACAAGGTGGCAATGAAGTAAACATCTGCGTGGAGAGAAACGAGCACCGAGTCAGAAACGCGGGGGGACCTTCTGGGAAGGGCTGCAGAAAAGCAGCTCCATCTACCACCGCTTCCTCCTGCCCGTGGCACGGGGCTGGAACGGGATCATCCCTGCCAGCCCAGGCCATTCTGTGATTTTACAATTCTTCAAACTGCCCCACCTCCAAGTTCAAAGCTCATATGATACCTGGCTCCTCACTCCTCCCCAGCAGAGGCAGAGATGTGCTGAGCAGAGGGGTGTAAGGAATGTCACAGGTAACTGCCCTCCCAAACCCCACCTGAAACAGGGAGATCCTCCCACTCTGGGAGCTGCCTCTGCTGCTTGGCCCAGCCCAGCTAACACAGCTCTTGACTCAAAACCCCTCAGAGTCTTTACAAAAAGAGTTAAAGCATCGTTCAAAATGGAACTGGAATAACCAATGCAAGAGACAGATCCAGCCAGGGGGAAGTTATCCCTGCTGTCTTCAGTGAGAAGAGAGCTTTGTGGAAGAAGCAGTGACATCTTGTGGCTCCTGAACGAACACTGGAACAAGCCCATGGGTCTGATACTTGCAACTCGACAGTTACTGGAGAAATCTGGAACTCCTCACCCTTTTTCTCTAGCCAGGGAATAGGATTAGCTCTGCTTCAGGCAACTGAACCACCACCAACAAGCAAACCAGATTCACTGGGTGGCACGTTCTGCTGACCACCTTTGCCCTCTCTAGCATTTTGCCATGGGAAGAAACCATAAAATATCTTCAAAGTGCATTCAAATCACACAGTTTACTGTGGTACCACTGTTGGCTCCACCAACAGCCTTTTGCTCAGTTCCACCCTGGCCATGACCTGACTGCAGGAGAGCACTGAACCTCACCAATAAACTCGTGCAAGAAGACCAGGGAAGCGATGTAGCAGGAGAGGCTGAGCAGCTCAGCCACGATCATCAGCCAGTGCCACGTCTGGATTGTCAGTGCCACCATCAGCAGCTCGGTGAGAATCAGGGACGTGAAGGAAATGGCAACAATGTGCACAAATTCCGATTCAAAGAGGAGGAGTGCTCCATACATGATGATGCTGCCTGCAAGGGAATGGAACTGTTTCAGTCAAACACCAGGCCCAGCTCTAAAACCCACAGTTAGGTCTTGGAAAGGCTGAAACAATCCTATCTTGAGGCTGTTTTTCGTGAAACCTGATGAACGTAACGACAACGAATCAGTTACTATTTAGGAGACAGAACTGATGAGAAGACAGGGAAAAGTTAGAGCAGCGGTACCCAAAGCTTTCTAACAGTCTATCATACTCACAGACACATGGAGATAGGAAATTAATACATGCTGTTTTGGCAACTGGAGATCTCTAACACCACGAAACTCTATCCTCCCACAAAAGCACTTGGTCACTACTCAGAAGCTAAAAGAGATCCAGTTCTTCTATATCCTACCACACTGCCTCGGTGCCAAGAGGCAGCCCAGTGTTGAAAAGCTCAGTGGATACAAGTGAGCCTCAATTTGCACCCCTGGGCCGAGATCTCTCCCCTTTACACCTCCCCCTAAGGGAATCCCATTAAAGCTCTGCTAATGAGGCATTGTTTGTGCTCCCATCCTGGCTGGCCAGGGCTCGCTCCAGGCCACCTGCACAAATAACTCATGTGAGCAGCATGAGTAATCCACACCAACATCCATCACTCAGGCCGCCTCCGGAAGGGAAAACCTGCGAGGGAACCGAGCTGGAGCCACGCAGTCCAAACCCAGCTGTGAACTTTCCAAACTCTCAGAGTTTTGGTCGGGCTCATCTCTGCTAGCAACTGGCCCGTGGCTTGGCTGCTGCTCGCTGGCTAGTGAGCACGGCTCTGGTGGAGTCACTTGGCCAAAGCCTGGAGCCAGAGAGTGCTCTTAGCTCAAGGAGGAATCTTCCCCCCATGGCATCACCCCCTGGCTGCTGCCCTGCACCGCTGGGAGTGCTCTCCCAGAGCCTGGCCTTTGCCCTTGTGTTACTCAGCATCCCAAGATCCCCGTTACAGGGCTCCTGTGATGGATTTCAGGAAATAAAGCTACCAGAGATTTTACACTCCTCAATTCACTCCCTGCTGAGGATGCCAACATCAATTAAATCCATAACCTGCTTGTTTTGACCCCTTATTCTGACTCGTTTTCATAAAGAGTTTTGGAAAACAAGAAAGTTTGCCACTTCATCTTTTAGCTCCACATTATTGACCTGTTTCCTACAATCCCCTGATTAATACTAATAGAGAGCATTTCAGTTTGAGGGTACATGATTAAAAAAAGAAAATTAAGAAAATACCTTCTTGGATATATACCCAAATTACTACATCCACTGTTGAAAATGCAGTAATTAAATAGTAATAAATTAAAATTAAATTATAAAAATAAAAATTATAAAAAGAAATTAAATTAATTTAAATAGTAATTAAGGCATTTACTTAATTGCTTCAGCAGCCTAATTAGAATGCATGAGACATGATCAAGAACGTGAGTTTGACTCTGACCCTGAATTACAGATGCCTGTGAAGCAACCAGAACTATTGCCACTTCAATATTTGGATAAAATACAGAAGGCTTCAGATGCCATGTTTTCCATGTAGACAAAAACCTGCAAAGTCCAAAGATTGGAGAAGTTTTCCCACCAGAAGGGCCGAGTCATGAGCTCTGCTCCACAGCCCTGCAGGGAACCTGCACAGAATTGCAGGGAAGAGGCACAGTGGTTTGAATTCTGCATCACAAGGTTGACAAATTACTGCCAATATTTGGGGGTTTGATCATTTTTTTTCCTGTGGTAATGCTACCAATATTTTCTGAGACAAATATATATATATATATATATATATATATAAGGATAATATATATAAGGATACTTTGGGAAATTCATTTTGTGCCTTACTTAACTTCCTGCAACACCAAAACTTAGAAAGTCACACATGCTACAACATCTAAAGGCACAAGCAGGAGTTGATTTCTTACCTTGATAAATGCTTATCAAGACCCAGATTAAAAACGTTTTGTATGACAACGGTCGACCCTGGGTGGGGGAAAAAAAAAGACAAAGCTCCATTGGGGTTTTCTTCTATTTATATAAATATAAATTTACTTATTGATCAACTTAGAAATTAATAAGAGAATGGGAAGATGATTTGGAAAAAAAAAAATAAATATATCAAGCAATCCAGAGGCAGTGCCCATTTATTCTCATTTCTCTGGGTGCACCAAGGGGCTGTGGAAGCTCAGGGCTCCCCCAGCACAACCTGGCCCTCACTGCACACACAATTAATCCAGGGCAGAGGTGCCTGGGGAGGTCAGTCACAGTGCTGTGGAATGTAAGATGTGTGTGTACACATACACATCAATACTGTATTTCTAGACACACACAAATCACCCTCCTATTGAAGGCAGATAGATTTAAAAAACCATCTCCAGCCAACACAGCTATACCAGCACAAAACCCTCTATGTTTAGACCAGGCCTAAGGATGGCTGGAGAATTAGTGGTTTATGACATAAGAGACAACATCCAAGTGAAACCAGATGGAGACTTATTGAGGCTCTGGAAAAACAGGCTGTGCTTCTGAGAGTATCTGTTTTACAGGAATCCTTGAGGGAGAGGATCTGGGGAAGACTCAGTCCACCCTTTCCTCCAACTGAGAAAGATGTTCCCAGGCTGCATACCCCAGTTATTCAAAACATTTTCCAGGGAGGAAGAAAAAAAAAAAATTAAAAAGGAACCTGAGACAAGATTTACCTTCCTGGTATTTCTATGGTAAACATAAAATAAAGTTTTCTTTGTCTAAGGAGAAGGACCTGACTTAGATGCTAAAGCTACAAAAATGGCACGGCAAGCAAACCTTTAGATCATGCTCCAGTCAAATTTCTATTGAAGGAACTCTGGAATAACCTTCTGCCTCCATTAAATGAGTGTACCCCTTCCCCTCTTCCCTTTTCTGGCTTCAGGACAGTGCCAACTCCCCAACAATTTCTCTTTTCCCTTTATCATGGAACAAATTGGAAATATTAAATCCCTAGAATTTCCCACAGAATGGAACTTCTACTTGTCCAGCCGTTTTTAATCAGTTGCATTTCATGCAGTACTCAATAAGCAACTGCCTGGAATTCTGGTTCTATCTGTTGATTCAAATTTGACTTTAACAGGATTTTGCCTGGAAATGCCTGATAAAGTTCTGGATCTCCTGGCAGCACATTTGACTTTACACATTTAGAGTTCCAAATCAAGATGAGGATCTTGCCTGAAAACAAAACACACAAATAAGAGTCTCCCACACCTTAAGAAGATCTTTGTAGAGCTCTGGGTACAACATTGCAACTTCAGATTTCACATCCTTGTCCAGGACAAGAGAAAACACAGGAAACATGGTGTAAATTGTGGAGTACCTGGGAAGAAGGCAGGAGACCAGTAAATTATCTCAGGTGGAGATGAGCAAAGAAATGCAAGGCTCCAGAAAGGAAATAAAATATTCTTTAAGTGCCCAATAATGTACACATTATAAAAACTGGCAAATGGAGCACACCAGAGTTTTGCAGGTAAGAAAAAACCATCAGGATTTGCTTTTTAGTGAGTTTTGATCAGGAACACTCAAACACAAGTGACTGGTTCAAATACTGCAGTGGGTTATTAATGGAGCCAAGCATTAATCCATCCCAAACTCTGCTCTACAGCTCAGGTTTGATTCTGTTTGCACCAGAAGTCAGTGGAGATGAATTTGCCAGTTTTTTAAATTATGTCATACTGGGATTTCAGTCACAATGCCCTGTTTTAGACTGTTTTTGGACAGGAACTAAGGTTGGCTTGTCCCTCATCCTGGCACTGCCTCTCACTGCTGTACAGACACCAGCCCAGAACTACTGTCCCTCTGCTTTTACTGGGATCCAAGGGATGTTCCTGGAGGATGGGCTGCTCCACAGATGTGACAAACACCCTTCTGGAAAGGTCTCTGGAAGGGTCTGCACTGGAAGGGGGCACGGCTCACGTGCAGCTCCTGAAGCTGTGCATGACTGCAGGAGTGGAGATGTGCATGGTTTGTGTGCTCCTCAGCCCCAAGTGTTCACTGTGCAGAGCTTTTCCTCACTACCAGCAAAAAGGGAGCTCTTACCCAATGATGAGGAAGCCTTGGTAGAGAGGAACTGAAGCAAAGTAAAACACTGATGAGAAAACAGCCTAGAAAAGAAATGAGCTTTTTAGGCACTGAGATAAAGTGACAGCTTCAAAATGCACTGTTCAAACTAGAACATTCCTGCAGTGGGTTCTCCCAGATGCTGAAATGAAGAGAGACCAATGGACTATCAACCCTTCTCAGTGCTTTGGAGCAGTTTCTGGTACTTGTCCAATACCAGGACTTTTCTCATGTGTTTTCATATCAAAGCAACAACCTCAAGTCCTAATCCATGAAAATTTTCAGGAGAAGAAATAGCAGCATTCCAAATGAGACCCATCCTTTATGATTTGCCTTCTCCACCTCTCTGGAAACCCCCTCCTGGCAGCCCATTTACCTGCATGGTGCTGATGCAGAGGCTCCTGTGGATCACAAACTGGCTGAGGGCTGCAGACCTCTTGTAGCTGTTCCTTCCATGGACCATGAGCAAACGACCCAGGTGCTTGAACTGAGTGATGGAGAAATCAGCTGCCAGCGATGCCTGCTTCCCTTCCTGGGAACAAGAGCAAGGAAAAGCACAGTGAGATCATTTCAGCCCTGGAAACAAAGAATATCATGTTATTGTTATCACTGACAGAATTTCCAGGAATATCTGCAGTACGTTAGGTGAGGGAGAGAATTGCCTCAGTACTTCTCCACCCACTGTGGGTTTTAAGCAAAAAGCAAAAATAAGAGGAGAATTCCCATTTGAACCTTGGCCTCCAATTCTACTCCAAGCCAGCCTCTGGATTCTGATTCACAACACACATGTTAACGTGACACTCCTGTCAAGTCAGTGCTGAACACAAACTCTCAGTCTCAAAAGTTCACACAGTTTTGGCTCACTGCAAGCAGAGTCTGTCTGCTGCTGCCAATCCAGTCCTGCAGCCCCACACAGCCCCAGGTGCAGGAATCAGAGCTCTAACCCAGAGTTTGTTTTGCAAACTGATATGAACATTTTTTAATTGTGCATGTAGGGTATATCTTACCAGTGTAATTATAACTCCAGCACTTGGAGCATCAAAAACCCCAAAAATAACCATGAAGGTACAAATTCAGGGATTCTGCCAAGAACCAAATACTGAATTTGAGCTCCCTTTAACAGTAGTTTCCTTTGTAGCCAAATTATTTCTCATGACAGGGCTACTGGTCTGATGATGATTCTTGTGGGAGCTTGTTCCCTTTCTTGCAAAAATACCTGAGGATTCATTTAAGAGTTGCTTGAAAACTGACCACAGAAATTCTCATTAAACACGAGGTAGTCTCACCTTTCCTTCAACTCCAACACCACAGTCAGCCTCCTGGATCATGCTCACATCGTTCCCTCCATCACCTGCAAGGCAGAGCACAAACAAAACTGGGAGTTAAGCAACAGGAGCAACCTGCAGCCCCACCAAAGTCATCTGCACCACACTGGAATAGTGTAAGAAACACTTAATCAAATCAACAAAAGCAAGATTTTAAATAGAAGTAATGAATTTAAGTTCTTGAGCTTTGTTTTAACATCCCCCCAGGTCAGTGATCGATGTTTCTCACTTGGAGGTGGCACCATCATATCCACAATGCCAAAACAAAGCTCACTGGTTAACAGTGGCACTTCACCTGATCAGGTTCAAGCTCTGTTGGCAAAGATGCCACCTGAAAGGGCACGATGAGGAGCTTGGCATTGAATTCCCACGTGCGAAATTTCAATCACCTTCTCCATCATCCCACCAAACCTCCTCTCCCAAAATTCCCATTTCCAGGCGGCACGAGGTGACACCAGACTGCCGGCTCAGAGAGAAGGAAGTGCAGACACCATTCCCCATGGCCAGTGCTCCTGGCTGCTCACTCACCCACGGCACAGGTGAGCTTGCCCGTCCTCTCCTGCAGCAGCCGCACGATCTGGGCTTTCTGCGTGGGGGCGCAGCGGCAGCACACGACAGCGGGGCACTGGCACGCCAGCTCCATGAACTCGTACTCGTAGTACTTGAGGCACACCTGGGGCACACAGCACACTCCTGGCTCACACCTGCTCTCTGGGCACCAGGCTTTCACCAGCCCAGGCTCCGGGGCTGCCCCTGCCTTGAGAGGCTCCCTGGAACAGAGGCTGGGCAGAGCTAAAGGAATAAAGTGGGGATTTGTTAAGAGGCCTTTAAGGGATACACCTTGGGCACTGCAAGAGCCTGGCCATGGCTACACCAAAGATGGGCCCTGGGTAACGAGTTTTAACACTTTGATCAGTTTTGGTCCATTTCCATATTGGGGTGAATTGTGCAATTCCAGCTGCAGGTGATGCAGTCCCACCCTCCAGGATTGCTCCATCAATTCGCTGTCATTTCACTTCTGCAGCTGTGCCCTTGGTTCTGGGGCTGGGAAAGGATTGTTGTGCCTGCCTGAGCTGTGAGCAGAGCCTGCTGACACTTCCTATGAAGTTCAGAGTCACACAGAGTGCAGTGAGAATCCAGAAAACACAAAGCTAAAGCTTAAGGCATCACTACCTCCAGCGAGTCCCCCGAGATGACGAGGGCACAGTCGTGCTTGCGGCGGAAGGCGTTCAGCTCCAGGTGGGCTTCTCCTCGGTTTGTCACCTGGGGGAGGGTGGAATTGAGCAAGGTGTGCTTCACTGGGGCAAGAAAACAGCAAAAAATCCCAGAGGGAACAAAAGTGACCCAGCCAGGACAGGCAGCACACTGAGTTAGGGCAGGCAGTCACAGGAACAAAAAGGCGGGGTAGAAAGCTGGGTCCAAAGAATAAAAATACCCTGCTGGAAAGCAGTTGTGATCTCACAGCCCTCCTGTCCCAGGGCCTGGGGCCCTTCAGAGAGAGTCAGTGAGTGTTACTCACTAGTCTGAATATATGGATGTCCTGTGTCCGTGTCACCAGATGGGCGTTCTTGGCTGTACACGTGGCTGTCTCCAGCTTATCCCCCGTCAGCATCCACACCTACAGTCCAAACATGTCCTGTTAAATAAAGCTTAGCAACCACCTCTGCAGGACCTCTGCAAGTACCACCTGCCCCGTCAGGCTTATGAAAGGACTGTTAAAATACACATACAAATGATTCTTCTAAAAAAACCCCTCTATTTTAAAACACGCAAGAAAATTCCCACACGTGAAAGAAAGCAAAGCTCCTCAAAGAGAGCCACAAAGGAAGCTCCAAACTCTGTGTAACATTTTTCCCACCTGCAGTATTTCAAGATTCTGCTGATAAACCCACAAAAATGCAAGCTAAAAAAATGTGTATTTGTGTGTTAATGTGTCTCTCCTCGGCCATTTCTCAAGCGGGCCCTGCTGCAGAAAGATCCCTCCTGGCCCAGCCTGAAATGTGGATGATGCAACTGGGGTTAGCTCAGTGCTGATGTGTACGTCTGGAACATGCTAACTTGCTTGAGGGGTTTTTTTTAGGATTTTTTTATTTTTTTTTAAATCTACACTGCTCCTTTTATTTTGTGCTGGTGAGGGGAGGGAGTTAGAAAGCAATGTCAGCAGCAATGGCTGGGAATTCCTTCTCCAGTGTAAATATATCACAGTGAGTTTGGTTTTTTTCCACTGGTGTTTTTATTCTTTCAAGACACTGCCCAAGAATATTTAATGAAAAATAAAAAAGACCTTAAGAAAATCCCAAAACATCAACAAAAGACCCCCCACAAAGACTCGTTCCCTTGTTAAATAATCAGAGGTTGGAAAGGTTTGATCTTAACAAGATGGTCCCTGTCATGAACTGTGAGAATTCCCTCTGGGTTTGCTCCTCACGTGCAGTGCCCTGATGAACGCTGCAGTGCAAGGAACGCTCAGATTCCCACAGCTCCACACCAGCCCCAGCCAAGGTGAGGAGAAAGGGGAGAAGGAAAACCCTACAGCATCACTGAGGAACTCTGATTCCCCTGGCCTCACTCCTCTGCTGAACTCTGTTGTTTATGGGGTGGCCCCAAACAAAAAGCACTTTAGGAAGCTCGTGCCAAGCACTGAACTCCCCTTCCCACCTCAGCCCCAAACACACAGCCCTGCTTTGCACTCACAGCACGGCTTCAGATTTTTGCTCACTTTGCAACTTAAAGCAGAGAAACCACAACCAGGACCTTTCACCTACTTTTCTTACCCAAAACTGAATGTTTAATCCACTTTTTCCCCCCTTTTGCAAGGCTGATGAAGCTTTCAGAGACAGAACCTACGGAGGCACCACAGCAGCTCCCTCTCTGCTGAGCACAGCTCAGGCTGGAGGTGTGGAGGCACAGATGCTGGAGCCTGGAAAGCTGGAAAAAATAATCCAGCCCCTGATTCCCTTGGCTCAGACTCCCCTCTAGTGGCTACTGAAAATGTGGATATCCACAGCTCTAAGTGCAGCACGGGGGTCATGCACCACAACCCAAACACAGCCAAACCTGCCTTGGTTCATGGAACTCCCTGAAAGAATTCCCCCAGGTCTCCCCTTCGTGCCCACAGGATTCCCTTCTCTGCAGGAGGAGCCAGAGCGAGTCAGGGGGTGAAAAGCACGAGAGGTGACACTCCTGTGTTAACATTTACTGCCTGCAGCACGTTCTGCTCCCAAAGTGATGTTTAAAACCCTCACAGGCCCCCCAGGTTTGAATTTACTGCCCGTGGGACGGTGCCAGGCGCTCCAGAGGGTCTGAGTGCTCCTGCTGGAGCAGCCCTGGGTTAGGCAGACCTTAATGCCAGCGTTCCTCAGCGTCTCCAGCGTGGGCCTGACGTCTGTCTGCAGCTGATCCTCCACCCCAGTGAGACACAGCAGCTCCATCTCCATCTCCAGGCTCTCGATGACCGTGGCCACCTTGAGGGAGCGGTCGTGCACGCTCAGCTTGGCCTGGACGTAGCGAGCCTGGGGACACAGAGCAGGGTCAGGCTGCCTTTGGGCACGAGGGCTGAGCCAGCCTCCCTCTCTGGCCCCAGGGACACAGCCCTGAGGTGCCTCTGAACCCCAGCAGCTCTGGTTCCGTGGCTCAGAGGTGGAACTGGTGAGGCCAGGTGAGCTCGAGGTGCCTGGCACAGACCAGGTAATGCTCCAGGGAGCTGCTGCTGATGTTGGGCAGCACAGGGCACACAAAGGCACTGCAGCTGCTGGAGTGGCACCTGCAGAGAGCCTGCAAGCAGCTCCCTCCCACCACAGGCAGCACTTGGCACCAGAGAATCCTGACAGCTCCTCCAGCACATCCCTGCATTAACTGAACAGTTCCCCTTCCCACTCTGCCTGCCTGGATACAGCAGGCAGTGTCCTGGGCAGAGAACACAGCCTGTGCTGCCAGGGAGCTGCCTCGTTCATATTCTGCTTATCCAGGATTCAGGAACTGCTTGGGAGGGTCTTTGCTGGGATGAACACTTCATACCTACCACTTGAAAAGCAACTTGGATTAAAAGAATATCAAGACACTTTAGAGCAACAATTCTAGCAGACAGAAGGGAGGTGAGAGGCAGCATTATCACAAGAGTTTTGTGAGAATCATTTCAGTGATTGTTTCTCTAAAAACAAGGGGAAAAAAACAAATAAAAACTTACTTCAAAGTCTTGATACTGCTCTTCTGTCAGAGACTTCTTGGCCACGACAAGAACCCTCAGGCCCTCCCGAGCCATGTTACCACACTGCAAAGAAGGATCCCATTGTAAACCATAAACTGCAGCGCCACTGAAATGATTCATGCACAGCAGTGTGGAGATGGCAGTGTAAGATAGCAGGTTAACTAAATAACCACCCCATTTCAGCAAGCCCAGGGAGGCTGTAACATCTGATAAAGTGCCTGATAAACTGGAGAGGAAAGAGGGGATCTGCAATGGTTTGTGACCCAGCCCAGGGATCAGGAAGAAGAATGTCCTCTCTGCTACACCAGGGTGGCAAAAACAACCCCATTGATTAAATTTTCTCTGTCTCTAAGTAAAAAGGGTATAAGCCTGTGATTTGTAGACTTCACTTTGGCAACCATCTCTTTAAAGTAAGTTATTACTATTTCTCTGAACACCAGAGAAGTGTCCCAGGCCAGGTTGGACGGGGCTTGGAGCAGCCTGGGATAGTGGAAGGTGTCCCTGCCATGGCAGGGGCTGGAATGGGATGAGATTCAAGGTCCCTCCCAACCCAAACTCTCTGGCATTCCATGAACTCTGTGCCACCATTGCTGCTAACCTGACAAACACACCCCAGTACAAAGCTGCCCAAGGTAGTCTTGAAATCAGATCCTTTGGGCTCAGATAGATCCAGACACAGAAGCCCAGGACAAATTTGGTGAGCGTCAATCAGTTTTGAGCAAAACCCATTTTCTTCCCAGGGCTTACTCTACATTAAATACGCTCCCCCCTGTTCCTGGGGATAAACCTGGCTGAGGCTAGCCCGAGGAGCTGCCAGGATCAGTGACCTGGCTCACAGGTTATCCCTGGGGCAGAGCAGAGCAGAGCAGAGGGAGCAGCCCCCCGTACCTCCTCCTCCAGCCAGTCGTTGTACTGCACGATTCCAGCCATCACCACGTCTGCCCCCTTCATGTAGAACGTGATCTCTCCTGTGGATTCATCCTGCAGAGACAACACAGCAGTCCAGCCTGGGACGGCACTGACAGCTCTGGGGGGCCTTGGAGGGATGAATTCTCAAAGTGAGGGATGAATTCTCAAAGTGAGGGATGAATTCTCAAAGTGAGGGATGAATTCTCAAAGTGAGGGATGAATTCTCAGCACAGCAGGCACAGAATTGCTGTGGGGCAGGTGAAGGGCCACCAGCTCAGCTCTTGTCTGGGGCCAGGAGATGCTGCCCAACTGCAGCCCAGCTCCTGCAGCAGCAATTCATGCTCTAGACAAGGAGGATCAGCTTTTATCTCCACACAGACAGCCCTGACTGCCTGTGCCTCCAGAACAACCTCGAGCCCTCACCCTGAAACTGCACTCCCTGCTTACCTGAAACAACAAAAGAGATGCACAAAGCTTAGCAGAGTAAAAATCACTGATTTTCCTGCTCTGTTACACCACCTGGAATAATCATAATTAAGCTCGCGCTTGCCACAGAAAGCTTTGATTGCTGCCTGGCCTATCTCATACAAGGAGTTTATAGGCTGCAAGCAAAGCATATTTACATTATCACAAATTTAAAAGTCCCTTCCAAGCAGGCAGAGAGGTGAGGAGGCCACAGCTCTGGGTATCACAAGCTACTGGAAACCCTGGCAATTCCCTCAAAACAGTGAGTAAGGAACAAACTGCTCTGGAAACCAAGACAGCCACCAGGGATAGGAGGAAAACAAACTCAAAATGCAAAACCAAAAAGCCCAGGAAGGTCTGAAATGAACAGCTGTGAATGAAGGGTACTTTAGAAATAAGAGAAATGAAAGAAAAGTGAAGTGGACAATTCTTCCATTCTGTGACCTAATATTTGGGTCAGTCTGTTCCACCTTTACAGAAATAAGTGGCAGATGTTCTCACACATGAATAGGTTAAACCTCAGGTCCTGTGGCACTGGCAAAACAGAGTTTAAATCCACAGGGGGGAAAAAAATGGCAAAATGTAGCACCTGATGTGGACACTGAAAGTACAAAGAAATGAAGTGTCCTTGCTGAGGAAATTAAGAAGTAGCCAGGGATAATGAAGCTCCTTTGCTGAATATTTTTGGCCAAGCTCACAGAGATATTCACAAGGAAGATGCTCATAATTAAGCCCAAGTGTGGTTTTTGATGTCCTGGAACATCCAGCCCTCACACAGTGATTCACATCCCACATCCCTAGAGGAAAACGGGTGTCACTCTTCCAAAACAACCAGAATCTGCTTAAATAAAACACACCACTTCTGGCAGTAGCCAAAGGTAAAGGTTTATCTATGAAATTATTTGATTAAAGAGTGTCTAACAACATCTCTGTAGGAAACTGAATAAAGACTGCACTTCCCGTGCTGCAGAGCTGGCTTAAGAGAGTTTAGATTTTTTGTCCAATATAAATACTGTATCAGCTATCTCCTTGCATTAGTCATTTCCTCTGCCCGAGTTCAGGACGAGGTTAGTGCGTTCTCAGATCATGGCAAGATCACTCCATAAATCTGCACACAGATTTGCCAGTTATATTGTTTTGGGGAAGCATCTTTTTCCACCATGCTCTGCCTCTGGCCACGGTTCAAAGGCTCCTTTCAATTCCAGATATGACAATAGCACTATCTCTGCTCTGCGACAAAGATCATTCCACACGGGTAAGGGGAAAAAAAACGCAAAGAAAACGAAGAATGGAAAATATTGTGGTCAAACAAACAGGCCTTCTTCAAAGAGGAAGATAAGTCTGTGCACACTCTGCTGAGGAGGCTGCTTGGGTAACACAGGATTTCTTAGAACTGAAATAATCAGGTACAGAAATGACAGTTGAGCGCAAGGGAACGCTCAGATATTGCAAAAATATCCCAAACCAGGCAACATCTGCGACTTGTTTTCACTGTTAACTATTGCTTTATTTACTAGAAGTTGTGCTGAAGGAGATTTTTCCTAGGGGCAGGGCAGGGAGATGGGGCCTGCAGGGACAGCACTGCACTGGGAGCCTCTGCTCACACTCTTTCCCCAGGATGGAAAAATTCTCTCAGGGGCTCCCAACCTATAAAACTGCAGTTTGTAAGAACAGGCAACACCTGTGCAGGTGAGCAGAGATGGTTCCCTTTGGGGTCTGCTCACTGCAGTGCTGAGGGCAGCCTCACCTCCCCCCCTGGGTGTATTTCCTTTGGGATTTCATGCTGCTCTCCCTCCCCTTCTGTTTCTTAACAAGCAGCACAGTTTAGGAGATGCACTGAAAAGGTGAACACCCTTCAACTTGTGGAGCAAACCAAATGGAGTGCCTACACATACACACATATATGTTTAATTAAAGAAAATTTTACTTGCTAACTGCTTATCTATAAATGCTTCTTTTTTTTCTTTTTTTTCTTTTTTTAAATGAAAATTAAAACCCTGCTTGAAGACACTATTTTAGAGTATACAGAAATGTGGCAAAGCAACATTCAGGCAGTCAACATCTGCTACTCAGCCCTAATTCTGCACAGGGCACACACAGAGCTGACTTTAGCGGCTTAGAGCAGCTGAATGGCTGCAAAATAAAGACAATTCACAGAGGGAGCAGTGCTCCTTTAAAGGTATTTACAGTCAGCATCCAGGCCTGATGTTGCTCACACTGACCACAAGTGGGAGTTTTGCTGGTTTTGCCTAAAATACAAACCAGGCAAAATCTAAACAGAGAAATACAAACTAGAAACCTTTAAATTCCTAGTGGGGGAGAAGATAAATAACAAGTAATTTGAAAGGAATAAACTTCAAATCAATGAAGGAAAAAGAAAAAGAAGAACTCTTGCACTTGTGATAAGAACATTTCAGGGCATTCACTTCTGTTCAGCATAAAAACACAATTTCATGAAGCTCACCCAGGCTTTGATGGTTTGTCCACCTCTTATACCCTTGATAAAACAGCATTTCAGCAAAAGCACTTGCAATAAAAGCAGTGGGGAGGGAGGTTCTTTAGCCCTCCCTCTTCTATTGATAACATTTTTATTCTAGGTCATGAAAAGATTGCCCAGTCTCTCCACATAATTTTCAATATAGAAGTAATTAATTTGGAGAATTGACACTTGCTGTACTTGTTGCAGGTATCCCCTGGAGCACAAGCTATTTGTGGGAGCACTCAGTGTATGCCCAGTGCATCCTGTGGAGCTCTGAATCCCCAGATTTAACACAGAGATTACTTTGTCCCAGCTCAGCCTCTCAGCCCACCTCCCCTGCCATCCCTGCCCTTGGCCTCGTGCTCACATCCCAAAGTCTTCCCAGTGTTTCAGCCCAGCTGCTGCCCAGGGAGGGAGTGCATGGCCCTGTTCCTGCCCTCCTGTGCTCTGGGTGATGCTCTGAGCAGGGAGACCAGCCCAGGCGGGGCAGGGTCGCTGCCAGACTGTCCCCAGATGTGCCTGTCCCCAGATGTGCCTGTCCCCAGATGTGGCTGATCCCAGGTATGGCTGTCCCCAGATGTGCCTGTCCCCAGCTGTGGCTGTCCCCAGCTGTGGCTGTCCCCAGCTGTCCCCAGCTGTGGCTGTCCCCGGCTGTCCCCAGCTGTGGCTGTCCCCAGGTGTGGCTGTCCCCAGGTATGGCTGTCCCCAGCTGTGGCTGTCCCCAGCTGACCCCAGCTGTGGCTGTCCCTGGGTGTGGCTGTCCCCGGGTGTGGCTGTCCCCAGCTGTGGCTGTCCCTGGGTGTGGCTGTCCCCAGCTGTCCCCAGCTGTGGCTGTCCCCAGGTGTGGCTGATCCCAGCTGTGGCTGTCCCCAGCTGTGGCTGTCCCCAGCTGTCCCCAGCTGTGGCTGTCCCCAGGTGTGGCTGATCCCAGGTGTGGCTGTCCCCAGGTGTGGCTGTCCCTGGGTGTGGCTGTCCCCAGCTGTCCCTGGGTGTGGCTGTCCCCAGGTGTGGCTGATCCCAGCTGTGGCTGTCCCCAGCTGTGGCTGTCCCTGGGTGTGGCTGTCCCTGGGTGTGGCTGTCCCCAGCTGTCCCCAGCTGTGGCTGTCCCCAGGTGTGGCTGATCCCAGGTATGGCTGTCCCCAGCTGTGGCTGTCCCCAGCTGTGGCTGTCCCCAGCTGTGGCTGTCCCTGGGTGTGGCTGTCCCCAGCTGTCCCCAGCTGTGGCTGTCCCCAGCTGTGGCTGTCCCTGGGTGTGGCTGTCCCCAGCTGTCCCCAGCTGTGGCTGTCCCCAGCTGTCCCCAGCTGTGGCTGTCCCCGCGGTGCAGCAGCCCTTACCCTCACGATGATGCCCATGCGCTTGCTCTCGTAGGTGAAGGGGAAGATCTGCAGGATGGTGAAGTTGAGGATGTGCCCCCCTGGGCTCCTCAGCTGCACTGAGGACTGGTCTCTGCCCACCAGAGTCAAACCCACGCTCTCTGTCCACTGCACCAGGGCCACCTGCGAGGAGAAGGGCATGGGAGGGCTCCTGCCACACCTCCAGAGGGGAGGGGCAGCAGGGGATGCAGAGAATTCCTCAGTCATTAATTCCTCAGTCATTAATTCCCCAGCCATTAATTCCCCAGCCATTAATGGTGCTATCAAACAGGTCCATTGATAAACACAGGTGCTCCTCCACAGCTCATCCTGGTGGCTCTTTCCCGATTCAGGCCCTTTCCTGCCCAAATTTGCAGGGTTTGGGCAGCCCAGCTCACGTCTGATGCAGCTGTGGCACTGCCCACATGGTCACCTCCCTGCCTTCTGCTGCCACGTTCCACTGGACACCAGGAATTTCCCCATGGAAAGGGAGCTCAGGCACTGGAACTGCCCAGGGAGGGTTGGATCCCCATCCCTGGAGTGTTCCAGCAATTCCTGGAGGTGGCACTGAGTGCTCTGGGACAAGGTGGGCACAGCTGGGACTCCATGGACTGGGAGGGATTTTCCACTCTAAATGATTCCAAGATTTCATTCCTAAGGACAGCCCTCAGCAAGGGGCAGGCACTGGAATCCTCCACCAGCCCCAGGGTGTCCAAACCTCCTTGGGCACATCAGGGAAAGCCCTTTACAAACACTTTTGGAAAGAGAGAATTCCCAACTTGCTGTCTGTGAAATTAAGAATTCAAAATGACGCATTCACCCTGAATTTACAATTTCAAAGCCGTAAACACTAATGCAGGACATTAAAAATTCATATTAATAAAACCCAATCAAAATGAGCTCTGTGGTATTCTCTGTGTTCAATAGTAACAGCTCATCAACAAATCTCAACAATTTTCCAGTGATCAGCAAGACAGCTGAAGGCTGGCTCAGACACTTCTCAGCAGAGAACCTTTCTCCCTAAACATTACAAAAGAAAAAAATTAAAACCCAAAAAAAGACCCCAAAACTATCCCCAGCTTGTTCAAGGTTTAACTGAACTGCAATCATCGTTTTGATTGCAGCCTCTACTGTTTCAGGACCCACAAAACTGAGTTCCCTACAAGCTTTCACCCAACTGCAGGCAGAGCCATGCCAGAAGACCTTTCTGAGATTGAACTGCAGAAGCTGTCTGGGCAGTAACAGATGGAGCAGCAGCTGACACGAGCCCATCCATCACTGGCCCCCAGAAAGGATCAAGGGATACTTTCCCCAAACAGACATGAAATACTGGAAGTGTTTTACAGTGACATTTTCAAAGGCACAAGAGTGCTGGGCACATGGTTGCTGTCGACTTGAAGGTTAATTATCCCTTCTGCCTTTCAGGTCCTGCCTCTACTGCCTGAAGCAACCACAAATACTTCAGTTAAAAATGGAATTGATTTTGGAAAAATCACACACAAGAGATACAAATAAAATCAGAATCTGTAAATACTTGCAGTGAGTTGAGATTTTATTAATGAATTGATACAATTGGGACTAACTGAAGAAGCTTTTGTGAACTCTACTCCTTTTCATCCAAAAGCTTGAGAGAACCTAAACCAAACTTTTCCTTTCATAAAGTAGTCTTAAATTGTCAGATTAAAAAAAAAAAAAAAGCAATTGAGTTGGCTTTGCCTTGAAAGACCTTTAAGTCAATTTGAATCAATATTTGGCTTAATATTAACAAGTTTGTGCAGGCTTACTCACAAAGATTACGACAAATCAAAGGCTCTTTCCAGCTTATCTTTCTCTAAAGTTTCTTCAAGCCATCCTCAGTGCATTAAAGTGTGCAGTTAATCCTCCCAGCAGCCTCGCAGAGCAGAGATGGAGCTCGGCTTTCTAATACTCTGGTTAATAAATAATGGCTGGGAATTATTCCCAGCACGATGCTCAGTGTGTGCAGCCCTGGTGGTGCCTGGGGGCACAAACCTCTGCTCCCAGCTCGGCCTGCTCAAGATCTCCTCTGCACAGACACCTCCCTCCTTCCCTGCCAGCACCTCACCCAGTCCTAGAAAGCTCTGGAAAGCAAAGCCTTGTGCAGAAGGACAGATGGACGAGCAGCACGTCAGAGGTGGCACCAGGGGACACCAGCAGCCACCAGGAGCACTGGCAGCTCTTCTGGGCTAGGATGGGATGCTCATCCCAGCTCCACCTCAGGCAGAACAGGTTTGCTCTGCCCCCTGCAAACACAGAACTCAAGGTGCTCTCAGCCACAGCAGAAAGATGAGAAAAATTTAAGATGCAAAAATATATATTTCCTACTTAGAGGAAGGAGAATTAAAAGCAGGTTTGAAATCCCCCAAACACCTTAAAGAGAGCCCACGTTCACTGATGAGGGAAATCAGTGATTTTTGCCAGCATTTTGCAGCTCCAACCAAGGCAGGCCTGATATGGATCTGAGCATTTCAAAGCACAGCAGCCCAGCACAGTACCCTCCGACAATTAAATTACCCAAACCACCACTGAAGTGGATATCGACTAATAAATTTCATTCTAAAGGGACAAATTGATCCTCCTGTGCCATGAGCTGCTCTGCAGGGTCCCCTCTGGGCTCCTGGGCAGGCAGACAGCAGGCACAGACCAATTGATCCCGCACCCTTTCATGTCCTGGCAGCTGCCGCCGTTGTCAGGGTTAAAGACTGCTTGCCCAGGAATCCCAGGCACTCTTATCTCTGATCAGATTATATCTATTTCATTTCCCCTGTTAGTTACTGTATGGCCACGACTGACAACTGGCTCGCAGAGCCCCAAGGCTGTAACTGATATCTGAATAAAGATACTTCAAGACTTCTAAATAGCAGCGTGCACAGGAAACAAATTTAGGAAATCCTGCTTTCTGTTACAGGAAATGAATCCTATGCCAACTGGTAGAAATTACCCTTGCTGTTAAAGTAAAGAGAATACAAGTTTTTGTACTCATTTCATAAACTGACCTTCCCTGCCATGGCAATATTTTATTGATATAGGATTTCAAAGGCTGGCTTTAACAGGAGTCCAAAGCCATTCCCCTACAGGGAATGTTATTTAACAGCATTACTCCCTTCTCAAGGACTCCACTTGTGTAGCTCCTGCATTTTGTACCAGCTAGGATGACATACAGAGCACGGCTAAATAATATTTGTATATCTAAGACCCACAGACAAGATTTCCTCAGTAAAGGAAAGCATATCTGATTTCTGAACCTGCTGTAATTCTCTACTTAAGATATCACAAGAAAGGAAAAAAGAATTTAAACAATAATCTTGGAAGGATTAGTTATCATGCTATAGTAAAACAAATAAACAATATCCCCTGGGTATTTCAGACAAATTGCTGAGTAAATATTTTAAAGACAGAACAGTATAAAGAGTAAAAGTAAAAGAAAAATCGATGACTTGACTATATACCACAATATATATGTAAATAAACAGAAATCTGTGCAAAAATAGCCTGTAAATGCTTTGGGAGAAAGAAGAAACTTAGATGCAGATCACAGAAATGACCATCTGGAAATCATTCAGAACTCATTTCAGTGCAAAGGCAGTCGCTTTCTGCAGGGGAGAGCAGGGAGGCAAAGCCTGGGACAGGACACCCAGCACAGCCTGCCCAGGGACGAGGTGCTGCTGGCACTTTGCTGCAGCCACAGCCATGCAGGGGGCACAGCAGAAATGCAGCTCTGGACACCACACAGAGCAAAATGGATATGTAGAAATATATCTGAAACGAATGAATTGCCTGCTTTGGGGGGAAAACAGTGTAGGGAATATTCTGAATGTATGTAAATGTGCAGAGCAGCTCTGTGCCAGTCTTTCAGTGGCACAACAGCCCCAAAAGCCTCACTCGGCTGGGCTCCAACGAGGGCATTTAATTCCATGCAAAGCAGTTCTCTGACAATGAGGCAAGCCAGCTTCTCTTCTGATGGCAAAGGTGGGAAGGTCATTATCAGGCAAAGCTGGTTTTGTTTGAGGCAATCCTGGAAGAACCCTCTGAAAGCAGTCAAAAGGCTGATTCGATCTCACAAATCACACTGTCAGATCACACTGTCACTGGGGTTCTCAGGGGAAGTCTCAAACTTCAGGTGCAACAAAAGTAACACAAGAAACAAGCATCCAAGAAGCGTAAGCAATACATGAAACCACATTTTATTCCTCCTGTCTTCCTCACAGAAGGAAACAACACCACAATTACCTTTCCCAAATTTTGCATGGGGTGGCAAACAGCACTTTAAGTTCTGTATTGAGCCTGATCTCCCAAATGCTCAGTAGAAGTCTCCAGTGAGTCTCTGGAGAGCTCTAAAGCTTGTCCCCACTGTGCCACCTGCACAGCCCTGGTCACACAGAGAACTGGCAGGGCCCAGCTCTGCTCTCAAACCAACCTGTGCACTTCACTCCCTCCCCAGAATTAACCTGGCCACTGGCTCTGCCCACCTGCACATGGGGTGTGCCACGGTGACAGGGATTTACAGCCTCCCACCGCTCTGGAACGTCACACACCTCGCAGAGCCGAGCTGTGGGAGCATCCCAACCTCCTCCACAAGCTGTCCTCCCCCAGACAAGATAAGGTTGCTCATAATTTACCAAACGTGGTCAAAGGGATCCACGGCGTTGAAATGAAAAATACACCCCAGACAAAAGGCGAAGAAACGGGGGCAAAATTCCGTGATGCAGAGGCTGACAGAACAGCCAGATAGCAGTGTGGAGCTCCAGGCAGAGAGGCAGAGCAGCTGACAGGGCACTTACAGTCTATCGACAGCTTACCAGAGCAATAAACACATTAAAATATTATCCCCTTCGATAAACCACAGCACTTCCCCCACGCAGCCGCGGGGTTTTTGGGCAGCCAGCAAGGTCACCCGGGTGACCTGGCAGCCCCCAGACTGACCTCGTCGGGGCTGGAGGCCTGGTACACCCGGCAGGAGTCCTCGTAGTGGCGCTCGGCCTCGGCCTGGTCGGTGACGCCGTTGGACTCGTAGACGGGGGTGACGTTGTGGCACAGCGCGATGGCCTTGACGGCCTCGTGCACGCGGCTGCTCATGGTGCGCCGCACCTTGGTGGCCAGAGACAGCCCCTTCACGGCCGGGGGCTCCTGGGGCTGCTGGGGGGACACGGGACAAGACAAACGAGCTCTCAGCGAGGGGAATAAACCAACTTTGAGTTTGTACGGACCGCGCGCGTCCCCCGGAACCGGGCACCCCTCCCACGCCTCCAACCAGGCCACCCCAGGGCAGCTCTGCCCCAAAAACATTCATGTGTTGGGACAGCACACCAAGAAAAAGCCCCTTTTTCTTTTATTGAGGTGAGGTGACACCCCCACCTCAATAAACTCAGAGCAAACGCTGTTTTACCCCACAAACAGCGGTTTGGGAAATTTAGAGTCACTCGGGTTTCGTGTGCAAGAGAATATAATTGCTGAAAACACAAAACAGATGACTCGTATGGAGCTAGAAAATCTTAATTACATTCATTTATTTCTTATTACTATTTTTAGTATCAGAATGGGAGTCTTCAGATAATTGCACAATTACTAAATTATCCCAGTTGGAGAAGGGACACACAGTGATCCAGTTTCCTGCTCTGTTAACCTTTAGTGTCAAGAGGACAAAAGTTTCACTTCCAGGTCAAAGGGCCACAACATGGTAAAAATAAGAGCAAAGAATAAGAACTACAGTTCAAAATGAATCATTGCCAGCAAATGCTTCTCATTATAAGGAATCTCACTTGGTAATTATCAAAGTTTTATGAGACATATCCATTACCAGGCTAATTCCACACGTTATTTTCCACACTAGAGATTAGGATCCATAAGATCTTCAAATTTAGTATCGCTGCTCATCAGCACTGCTGCCAAAATCCAACAGCAATCCCTCAGCTGGAGTGCACTCAGTCACTGCTCTCACACTGGACTGGTCAGTCACCCATATGCTCCTGACAAACATTGGACACTTTGGCAAATAATTAACCAGTAGTCAAGTTTTCTCTAGAGATTCGGTATAAAATGGAGGCAAATAAAGCTGAAGTCTGGGGGTTTGTGATTTGGGGGTTTTTTTGTTGTTTGTTCTTTTTTAAATACAGTTATGTCATTTAAGGGTCTCAACACCAAGAGAAGAACCAAATGCTAGGAAGGAGAAAGAGAAGAGGCTGCTGGATATTGAAATAAAAGTGAATTTGGACTCAGACACGGGCACACACACTTGCATGTGATGTGAGCAACCCACAGAACAAAACAGGCAATCACGACATTATTGATGCATTAAGCATCCAGTGACCTTCACACTTTCCCAAAAGCAGCTCATGAGCAGACCCCACATGAATCCCCCATCAGCCCAGTGATGTGGGAGGCTTTTGGGAGCAGGGAGTGAGGGAAGGCAGTGAATTGTACCTGTGTGTAAATGCTGAATATGTGGCTCTGCACCTCGTCCATGGAGTCCAGGCCGTAGGCCACCGTTCCCAGGTGGAGCCTCTTGAAAACCATCTCATTCTGGGTGAGAGTCCCTGGGAAAAGCAGCACCATGGAGGGGAACACCACCCCATTCCCCAGCACACCTCAGCACACCACCTGAGCTGCTCACCCCAGCACATCCAGGCTGCCAAAAACCCCAACATTACTAAACCCGAGGGCTCCTGCTCCTGGGGAGAGCGGGTGTGTAAGAGTGAGATTCACCCCACAGTCAATGCCAGCAGGAGCTGCAAACACAGTTCTGGTCCCACTGGAACCAAAAAGGAACTGGAAACTACTTCAGTGGGGCCAGGATTTTATGTCAGACTGAGCCTTTCATTACAGTTCAGTCCCCCAATTCAAGCTCAGCTTCAGAAGTGTAAGGGCAGCAGCAGACAGCTTCTGCCTGCTATGAAAGTTATCTTAACCTGGCCTTGAAAACTAGCTCTAAAAAGTTGATTTTAATTTTGCTATGAAAGTTATCTTAACCTGGCCTTGAAAACTAGCTCTAAAAAGTTGATTTTAATTTTGTTTTTGCCCTCAGCTTTTATTTTTATAGTGTGCTTTAAGTGGTGTAATATTCCTGTCCCACCTTACCTAGAGCACATTCAGAACAAAACAAAAAGCAGAATTTTCAAAACCTGATTAAATCATATTGTAAAATTGTCAGGAAATTGAATGGACTAGAAATTATTTCCTTCAACCACAGTGCCAGGGATTTTGGAATCTCTGCGGATCACCCAGCTGTACACGATCTTCCCCATGTCCAGATTCACACGTAAACTGCACAGCAGGAAAAAGAAAAAGAAAAGGTATCACCAGGTAAACCTTGGAAAAAATCCTTGTGAATTGCCACAGTGCAATGAAAGGACAAGTTCCACAGTGAGTCTGAGGTGCCAAAGGGGAGTTTCAGGAGAAGTTTATCCAAAGTCAGTGCTCTGGTAGCAAATGTAATTACACTGTGGTCCAAAGACAGATGATAAAATTACAGTGGCAAGAGCAGATACCATGATTTGAGGGGAAGATGGACACAGAGTAAAGACAGTGATGGATACCAGAGAGCAGATTAAAAATGGAACTGAAATGAATCCCAGTCCTGCATGCAAAGTAAGTTCCTCATCTACTGACTAATACAGTACAATTTAATATTAAAGTTTCATTGCCCTCTAAATGAATTCCCCTACATATCTATGAAACACCCTCCTTTTCCATTTTTTGCTCTGTTCTCATCACAGTAACCAGGTCCAAACACTGGCAGAAGGGAATTTAAATGCCTAATCCACAGCCTGAGCCAGTGGATGGGTTAGTAAGTCGAACAAATTCAGCAGAAACAACAAAGCAATTCTGATGTTTGAACAGTAACTTCATTTCTACTTCTGGCCTTGCTTAGGTGTGAAAGGAGGAGCAGCAGAGCTCAGTCTGCCCGAGCTGGAAGCAAGGAGGAACCCCGAGCAGGCAGAGTTCTGCTGGCAAGCACTGACAGCTGTCCCTTACCTGATGGGAATGATGTTGGAGAACAGCAGCAGGAACCTGATGATCTGCAGGTACCAACGGCCTGCAAAGTGCTGCAGGGCCACCATGACCAGGGACACCACCACCAGAGCCCCAAACAGGATCTTGGTGAGACAGTTCACCTCCAGGTCGAAGAGGCCAATCTAGAACAGCAGCAAGGGGAGATTTCAGGCACACAGATGAGGACATCAGCTCGGTGCAATATTCACAAAGGAGTGAACTGCCATTCCATCCAATGAGCCATTCCCCACTAGTCACTACAAACAGATTTGAATTTATAATCAGTACCCTTGCCAGCTAATTAAATGAGATTTCCATCCCTTGGAAGCCAAGCAGAGGATGCAGAGGTGTGAGAGGACTCAGCTGCCAAAGCTGCAGGCTGTGCAAACATCCCTGCACTGTCTCAGCTTTGCTACAGTGGAAGAATGCAGCAGAAGAAGCTTTTCTATTCTAATTGAGACTGTCTCATTATAAACATATAAAACCATGGTTTTGACAGTCTTAAAAAAAGTGAGAAGACACAAGTAAAACAGGATGAAAAAAAAGTCAGGAGAAACAGGTTCTGTTATGGTAACTATCTTAGATCACAGTATTCATCACACTGCGCAGCTCCCTGCCCGTGTAGAGGACAACTCCCACCACAGTACCTGCACACACAAAGGTTTCCTCCATAAAAACACTTCTCAGCTGGAAAGGATTTTCAGCAGGCTAATTTCAGAAGAAACCAGAAATTCAAAAAGCTGGTAACTGCAACACAACACCAATGAAAACACAGACTGGAACAGGAAACATCCTCCCAGGTTGGAGGTGATGCAGCACCACAGACTCCATCAGCTCATGGGAAGAGCAGCCAGCTGGGCTCTACTTTCCCTGAGCCCCTTTTGCTCCACTTGTCTCTCCACACCACAAATAAAAGTTGGTAGGGATGGAGGATTTCTTGGCTTTCCTCCCACCACTTGGAATCCCACGTTGGTGCTGCCTTCCACCAGACCTTCCCTGTGTGTCAAAATTAAACCAGCTCTGGGCTGTGGTTATTTATTGGTAAAAGCTGATACAATCTGAGCAAATCCAATGAATTCCAGAGCTCAAAGACAGAATTACCTTATTTTAAAGTCTACAATTTACTTTCAGTGTTTATCTAGATACTGCTCCTACCACAAAGTGAATCACACCAACTCCTACCTTCCTGTAACAGATGGAGCTGCTGGGAGCCCATCAGTGAATTTGAATGCTCTGTCCCACTGTTGCTAAAGAGCTGAGAGCAACCAAGTTCTCAATTTTCTCCTTGCAGAAACATAATTCAGTTTAGCACCATAAATTACAGGGTTTATAGGGGTTTTCTCTTAGGAGCCACAAAGAAAAATCTATCTACCATCAGCAGTTTCAAAGCTGCTATTGCCCAGTGTTAGGAGTCTGTAAAAATGGAGAGAACCAACTCTCAAAGCAGCACTGCTGCCTATTGCTGCTTTACACTGCACTGTTCCCCTGCTCTCACTGAGGATCAAAGTTTTAACAAGCTGCAAGTGACTTATTTTTAAAAAAGGCTGATTCAAGAGAGGTGGTTTCTAAAAATATGCTGAGAAACATTCCTTTAAGAAAAAAACCACCCCCAAAAACAACAACAAATCCCAGGAGCCAGATGGCAGGTGGTAAGATCATCACAATTCAGATCAGCAGATGGCACAGCTACTCCAAATCCACTGCAAACAGGCAGAGTCAGACCCAGCCCTCCTGCAGCAGATGGAGAAAGACACATTGCTCTGCTTCATCCTACAGGGGCTGCCCCAGTGAGATGGCACCACAACCCCACAGCTTCCACTCACAGCGGAGGAAAATGAATATCCACCTTTTCTCCTAACAGAAATAACCTACAACATGCTAGTTGTTATTACCACAGGAGAAACAAAATTGAGTATTGTATTGATAAGTCAGTCAAAATGAGAGGAAGCACCTGGCAGGACTAGACAAAGCTTGAGGACACACTGCTCTGTAAAAGAGGAGTGTTTCCAGTTGGTTCATGGCCTTTTCAAACAGACTCAATCACATAAACCCTTTGAAACTTTATTTGCAAATGCACTGTCAAGTCTTTCCATTTGACAAGTTTAATTCCAGAACTGGACTCCAGAATAACCACTCTCCTCCAGCTACTGCCCAGCAAACTCTGCAAACACACTGGGCAGGAGAGGAAAAGGCTTTTACTTTGACAAGTGGGCATTGATTAATCTCAGGCCTCGGGAGTTTATTGTATATATGGGTCAAAATCTGTCAAAGACTTGATTTTTTCCCCTTTTTTGAGAGTATATAGGATAAACTCAATGGAAGCACTTACCTGGAAATCTTTCATCTCAGCTTCTGTTCCCCAAATCCATTTGACACCATTTCTGTTACAGATTAGGATGTCAATGTGCAGAGCAATTAAGTGCTATTCTGGTCCTAGATGCTAAAGAAGGGCCCCAAAGGCCACTCCACTTCTTTCTCATCTCAGAATGTCCAAGAGGCAATTAGATGTCAGCTCAGCTCCCCAGAGGTGTTAGGACAAGGGGGAAACCTCATTCCAACTGCTAATTTCTCCAACTGACAGAATTATTATTCCATCACAGAAATACCTTTAAAAATTGTTAACATATTCCCTTAAAAACAATTTTCCATGGCTCTCCACCTTACCTGATGCAATCACTGTGCTGGCCCACAGGGTGTTTTCTATGCTTAAACTTTCATTTACTGGAGGGTCACTGTCCTCCTACAATGGGAAAAAGTGAAAAATAAACTTGTCAGTAATGCAAAAGTGCAGAGGATGGGAAGAGTCCCACAGAGGTGTTTGGAGACGGATGATGAGCGAGTTGGCAGGGGAATTTCTGACAGGATGGAGGATTTTCATAAACCCTGGTGGATCCCTGGTTGATTTCAAGCCTGTGCCTGCAGACTCACCCTGGTGAAGGTCCCCACGAAGTTGTGGATGTCAATGTTGGGCTCTTCTGCGTAGACGTAGGAGCGGATTTGCAGCAGGTCCTATCAAACACACACATCCATCAGTCAGCCACAGCTTGATGATCTACAAAAGCCTTACCAGAATGCTCCACCAGGAGCTCCTCAGCATGACTTGGAACTGACTTGTCTCCATACCTACTGCAGCCCAAGAGTCCCACAGGGAACACACCTGGGGTGACACCCCAGACACTCCTGGCACTTATCAGGTGTCTGTGCCCCAGAGAAGAAACCACAGCCTGAAAAAGCAGGACTGCAGCAGCCACACGTGCTCAGGTGAAGCATGTCCACAGCTCCCAAGCAGAGACTGTGCAGCAGGGGCTTACAGAGGCCGTGGGCAGGCGCTGGGTGCAGGTGACGGGCAGCCGCAGCTTCCAGTCCGTCTCCCCGTCCAGCTGGTCCGTGCGGAGGAAGCAGGAGCCTGGGGATGGCAACAGCAGTCAGGGACCCTTCCTCCTCTGTCCTAGGCACATCTGCAGGTAACTCATGGCATGGCTTCCCCCCAGGATATTCATATCCCCCTCTCTGGAAACAGCGTCTGATTTACATTGGTTGATAATGGAAGGATGACGTTCCTGCATCGCATTCCTTTCCTTCCACTAGGCCAGAGCTCTCTGTGCTGTACTTTATACACACTTGAAATGTTCCCATTAATCTGTTTTCTAATCCTTCAGATCAAACATTTCCTTATCCCACACTTAACAAAACAAGCCTGAACAGTAAGTAAATATATCTAAAATGCAACCAGATTCATTTACCCCGGACTCAACCCCTACATTCTTTGATTAGCAAACAAAACTAGAGTATAACATCCTGAGAACTGGTGGTCCATAAAGCCACTTGAGCTCCCTCTCTCTCTAAAATTTTACTATTATCTATTTCTTTCCCATTTCCAAAAGATAATTTTCTCCAAACAACCAGTGAAAGGTTAATGGCTATTTTGACAATTGGTTCCAGATGTTTACCATTCTTCTCCGACGTCCTCAGGAAGATCATGTCAGCAGGGACCCTCTGGTTCTGGGAGGAGAAGAAAGGCCATTATTGTGCAGCCAGCCCTGCACGCGTGTGCAGCGCCTTCCCCACAGCAGCAGAGGCACAAAGAGGATTCCTTTGTCAGCTGCAGCTTGGGCTTCAGTTTGCTTTCAATCCTCAACCCGCTTCCCTGCAGAATTCCAAGCGCAGGATAATAACTGGTGCCAGCTCCCACTGACCAGACTCAAGGGTTAGGTTTACAAAAGGGCTGGAGAGTAATTCTAGAAGTATGAAGAAATCTTAAACTAGTGCTGGTTTCCTTTCAAGGAGTCCCACATTAGCAATACCAGTATATACCAGTACCTAATGGATCACTGAGTCTCCCAGAACTGCAGGGCTTATACCCAAAGAAACAGCTGGGTGCTGCGTTTGTTCCAGGTGTTTAACCTGTCCAACACTCACAGAAAGGACAGGGAAACTTTTGCTATAGTATAAGTAAAAAAATGAAGTTGTAAGTGCATGCCTACAGATTTGCCCTCATTTGTAAAGATAATGATGTTATTGGTGAGGTGAAGGAACCCTGTAAAGTGATTAAATATTTTAACTTGTGTTCAACACCTGATATTCTAAGCCTATTGTAAAGTAAGGAGGAATTCAAAAGATCTCATTTTCTATGGTTGTGGAAAAAAAAAAGAAAAAAAGTACTTCACAGAGGAAAGATGAATATAAAGACAAACCTTTTCCACAATGATGAGGTCACCCACTTGGATGTTTGAGCTCTTCACCTTGACAGTCCCTGCAAAGGCAAGGTGTTGGTGTTAGAGCAGAGCAGGACAGGTTTGGGGTGCTGTGTGCTGCTCCTCCCATCCCCTCCTTGCACTGCACTACGGGGGAGAAGATGGGAAATGTTCCCACCACAGGAACCAGGCAGTGCTGCCCTGTGGAGACCTCCTGAGCCCTTTGGGTGGGTCTCCCAAAAAGGGCTGAAAGATGTATATGTATGCTCATGTAACAGCTCCAGACCGCAGCCCTGAGTGCAGAGAGCCCCAGCCACTCCCTAGCCATGGCTCTGAAACAACTCCTAAAACTCCTTTCTGCACTGCTTAACTCATGAACTCAAAAACACTTTCAGTGTCAGGCAGATGACAGAGCAAGAACACAAAGCTCCAGCAGGGAACCATCAAATCCAGCTCCTTTTCCTCAGGTGCCTGGAAATGTAAAGCTCGAGTCTCAAGCCAAGGCCTGAAGCTGAAGGTCCAGTGGGTCCATCCAAAATCCAGGCTCATTTCCTCCCCTGCTGCAGCTCCAGACTCTGGCTCAGCTCTGCCACCCCTCCTCTGCCTCTTGCAGGACCGACCAAGCAAGCAGAGAACAGGTCCTACAGAAATCATGTAAATATTTATTCCTCTGCAGCTGTCAAACATTTCCCAGTTGCTTTAAAACAGGGGATTAATTTAACAATTGGCTAGCAATTCCAAATCATTAGCCAGCTCTAGATTTGCCTTCTCAGACTAACTAGTGATTTATAATCAGTTAATTTGAACCCTGCCTCTATGTGTCTGTTATATTTCAACAAAAGCCTCTTTAATCTGCTGTGGTTTGAGTGGAAGTGGGGGAGGCACGTGGAGCTCACCCTGGCACGGACAACACTCCTACTGTACCTCAAAATTCACGGGCTAACTGGCCAGATAGCAGCTCAGGGGGGAATCAGGAGGGGGAAGGGAGGGGGAATAGAAATTAGCACAAAGCACAAAGGTCACTGGGATTTTACTACTGGCAGTCCCTTCATTAGCATCCTTCTCAGGATATGCTTCAGTGTTTCTGCTCCAAATTAACAATGAAAGCCATTCTGGGCTGGGGGCAGCCTGCTGCTTTGGTGACACACTGTGTGCTTAACAACATGCTTCATCACTGCTGCTAATAAATGCAGACTTCCTCGCATGCTGTAATTATTCCTACAAATTATAAGCAGTCATGGCCCATTTCATAAATATCTCATAGGTCTTGCATGGATTCTGGAGTTTGCCTTGTGAGGTTTCTTTTTAGGGGTTTTTTTTGGGGTTTTTTTTGTTAAATAAAAAAAAAGGTAAACAAAACGAATGCTGGGCTAAAGACATCTCTGCCGGGGCAGGAAGCAAACTGGGGATTAAGAGTCCATTACGCTGGGGCTTGAAAAGAAAAGCTGCACTCCAAGAGGATCAAAAAAAGCATCCCTGGCAGTCTTCTGTATGGGCTATACAAAGTTAGGTACTATGACACTAAAAGGGTCTGACAGATAACATCTCTTCCTCCCCTTTTAATACGGTTATTCACAAAACAACAAAAAGTGCTTTTGAATATTCTCCCGTGCAAAGGAAGGGGGGCAGAAAAAGCCCGTGTGCTCTCCCCACACAGGCACAGCCATTCCCAAAGTGCAGAAAAGCTGGGGATTTGTTTAACCATATTTTCTGTATTCCTCAAAGATCACAAGGATTTATCTGGGGACTGTCAGTAGAAGCAGCGTTACTTGCAGGGTTCAGGCAAACTTTTGTAAGCTTTGCCTTAATGAGGTAAAAAATCATTCAGCAAAAGAAAAATGAATGCCTGGACAAAGCTGTAACGTGACCATTTCCTATCATTACGCACATAAAAGGCTTTTGGGATCATTATTCTGAAAACAGGATCATCTGCTTTAAAATTTTTCCAATATGAGAAAACCCAAAGCAGCTGGAGCAGATTTGTCTCGTTCACAACCCTCCCAACCTCAGCTGTTTGAGGGTAAAACAAAGAGGGGACCTTTCTGAGCAGCACACGTTTTTACAACTCCTGGATAAATGAGATGCCCTTTTTAGGTAGCTAATTCTGCTTTTGCAGCCTCCCTGGCCCCGTGGGTGACATCTCTGCAGTGTGCACACACGTCCTGCTAAGAAGGGCCAGGACCAGATGTTTCCTTTGACTCAGGACTCCCATAAAGCAACTTACTTGAATTAGTTTTATTTTGATCCTGGGAGTTCTGTAATTCCCTTTTCTTTCTGTGGGGGAACTGCCACCTAAACATTGGATGTTTTCTCATGCAGGTTTAAAACCAGCTCATAGCACAACTGTTCCACTTCTCTGCTTTTTAACTATTTTTGTAATTATAAACCTCTGTTACATAGTGCTACTAGAAATGCTTCCTCTAAATACACACAGGTTTATTTAGCATTTTTATCACTTTCAGTTTGCACTTCCTTAAGTTAATCAGAATAGAAGTTGGTGTTTATCACATTTTAAGTAGAAATAGTCTTGATCTCTCATTCAAAAAAAAACCTGTTGTTAAAATTTGTCTGGTATGTGTTTCATTCTCTGCTCTATCCTGATTTATCTTTTTTAAAGACAAGAAAATAAACATAATCAAATGCAGTTTGCTCCAGTTTAAGCTGTGGTCTTTGAATTTATCACCAAATCTACAGCATGATGGATGTACCAAAAAGCAGATCATTTCAATTTCAGATCATTTCAAGTAATAAATATATTAGCCAAAAAAGATGCCCTTTTTTGCTCTGTGAGCACTTAGGTCAAAAATTCACAATAGACCTGCAAAGCTTCACTGAAGTACAGATCCAAACACTTAATTTGGAATTAAAGACGAAACCAGAAGTTTAGTAAAACCAGTTAAAGGTATCTAAAAAAATAAAAAATAGAAGGGGAGGTGGGTTTGTTTGATGTGCTGCACCAAACTTCTGCCCTTTGTAGCCTTATGCTGTGGAGCAGGACTTGCAGAGTTTGGGAAAATATTGTTTTTTTATGGCTGGTAAATGCCAGTGATCTGTATCTTAAGTAGCACCCCTCAGTAGGAGGTCCCTTCCCACTTTTCTGTGGAGTTGCTCTCTATTATGCAGTGTTACCCAGGGAGGGGGGCTGCAGCAGAAGAAAAACAAGCCAGGAATTTGCAAGCACAGTTCGAGCTTTCCATCAAGCAGATCAGAACACAGACCCCTGAACACAGAGAGGCTTGTGGCCTTATGAATAGGGGATTGAAATTTGATTATTTTTTATAACAATCCAAACACCTCTCCTTTAAATGCAGAGCTCTCCCAAAAAATTCAGTACTGAGATTCAGTGAGGGACACAAAATTACTTTTCTCCCCAACCCATGTGACAATCATAAATAATTTTCTATGTTTTTTTCTACTCTAAACCACACTACAGAGTCTCACTCCTGTTTCTGCACAAAATTCATGTTAAATACAGTGGCTTGAGATTTTCAGCAAGTGCCCAGCTGCCAATCCTCTTTGGTTTCTTTCACAAAATCAGCAAAGTTAAAGGACTGGGGGGAGGGAAATCATTCATGGGAAACGTAATAGCAATATGAAAAGAACTAAAGGAGAGGTCAGGCCCCTTATAGATCATTGAATAGAATCCAGAAGGCAACTCTTTTATATCTTTAAATAGATGTAGTACACCCCTCTTGGATGAGGCTTTTGTTGGTTGCCAAGCATTTTAAGTGTTGTAGTAAGAACACGTTATTAAAAGGGGATTTAATATTCAGAAACTCAAACTCCCCAGTTTGGAGGTGCCTCATAACTCCTGGCATGTGAAACACATCCAGCCCTAAGCAATTACATTTGAAAAGCAGCCTTATTCCTACAAATACAGCATACTTTTCCTACACCTAAGAAAAATCCATCTAGGAAGTTTCCATCGCTGCATATTAATTCAGGGGAATAAACTTTTATAACTAAGAAATTGTAAATGGAAAAGAACCAAAACTTGCTCAGATTCAGTTCATTCCCTTTTTAAAACAAAACCCTGGCCTCACCATCTTTGTCATGGTATTAGGAGTAACTGCATAGAGGGGCAGCAGCGGATTGCTCAGATGAGAATTTCGATTTGTTGGGTACAGCACGGCTGGAAAGAACGGCCAGAGCTGAGCCCCAGCCTGGGCTCCTCAAACCAGGGCTCCAAACCCCTCAGGGCTGCAGGGGATGGAAATGCAGGAGCTGATCCTGCCAGGCTGAGGAGCTACATCAGCTGAGGAACACATCTCACCGTCTTTATAGGCTCTTCAGGGTGGGCAGGGGCTGGGATGGGATTCCCAGAGCAGCTGGGGCTGCCCCTGGATCCCTGGCAGTGCCCAAGGCCAGGCTGGACATTGGGAGCTCCTGGGACAATGGGAGCTGTCCCTGCCAGGCTGGGGGGGCACTGGGTGAGCTTTAGGGTCCCTTCCCACCCAAACCATTCCATGAATCCCTCAGCAAACCCCAACCTCTAGCAGAGCCACCCAGGAGCAGCCACCCGGACCCCAGGGCTCCGCAGCAGCAGCGTGGCCACAAAGCCACGTGCCTGGGAGCCCAGAGCCCCCTCCCAGGCCTGAACTCTGCTCTGGCTGTCAGCAGGGCTGGATTCCGGAGCCACGGAGCCGACCTCTGGCTGTGAGCTTGCTGTAGATCTGCGAGTTCACTTCCTTGTCCCGCATGTAGCATCGGATCTCCTCGGCCGCCTCGCGGATCACGGTGACAGCCAGCACAAACCCCTGCCAGGAGCACGGGGGGAAACAGCAGGGATCAAAAGGTCAGGGAAAAAAAGTCACATCTGCCTCTAATAACAGCAATATTTATCAGTGCCAGCGCCAACAATCTGCATTTCCTTATTCTAGCTGATCTTCCTGAATACAGTGAGATGTGCTGCTGTGCAAACCCCAGCAAACACACAGCAGCTGCTGAAATAACACTGCTTGCTTAAGAACCTTTCCAGTTTTACCATGATGCTCTCCACAAGCACATCTTTGTAAAGCTTAAAGCCAAGCAGACCTTTGTGAAGTTTCCCTGAAGAATGTAAATATCTCGCTTCCCCTCACAGCGGAGCAATCGAGACTGAGAAGTCCAGGGTAGGGCAGGATCCCTCCAATCTCTGTGCTCACCACCTCAGAGCCACTGAAGTCAGCACAGCTCACCTGGGAGGTTTCTTTGTATAGAAATTCATACAGAAATCTCTAAAAACCCCTTTTTATATCTACAGCTAGAGAGAGAACGCATGTGCCTTCGTGTGTATGTACACAGACACTCCACCTACACAAATAACACTCTGAGGATATTTCTGTGCACTACTCATGGTGTAATTACACGTTGGCCTGACTAAGGCTTCAGTCCCACTTTTCTGTGCATGTGAGCAGCCATTTCATTTCCTCTTGCCAGGACAAAATGCCCACATCATAATGCCCTCCACTATATAAAAAATAATTCATTCATGCAGGCCAATTCTTTACAGGCTTGGTATCACAAAATCCTGTTTCTACCAGAGACTATTAGCTCAGACTCACTGAGCAGGTAAAACACTCCCCATGCATCAGAGAAAATGAACTTTTTACAACTGGGGCTGAAAGTTGCAACCAGGTACTGACTACCTCTGTCAATAAGGAACTTTAAGAAGGGAGCAAGGTGAAACTGCAGGTTTCTAGGATGTACATATATCTAAATGTGTGATCTAATTAATTAACATTGTAATGAAATGCAGTTGTTCATTTACCTAGGAATTCCTACCTGCTTTCCAAAATAAAACTAAATAAGCATCAACTATTCTCAGCTTAGGTTTCAGCTGTTTCAAGAGCCTTCAAATAATCACCCTAAAATATTCCCACATGTTCCAGCTGACTGTGTCATCTCATGTGTCATTCCAGCCCCAACACTCCTATTAACAGCAGTAATGAACAAAGAATTTTCTTATCCTGCTTTCTGGCACAGACAAATCACAACTGCCTGTACAGCAGAGAGAGAGATCCTCTGTGGTCATGTATATTTAATTTATATAATTTACAGGACAGGATCCTACAAAAGCAGCAGCAGATTCACACAGCAAATGCAATAACAGCATTTGAGAGAGAATTCATGGAGATCCAAGCTTGAAAACAAATAGAATTTTAACAGCAGGGTCCCAAGGCTGCCCCTTCACTTCTTCCTGGCTTTTACCAGGGATCTCACTGCACTGAAAGTCCAAACCCTACAACATGCACAGCACAGGCCTCAGGAAGCAAATTAAAAATAGGATTTAAGGTGCAAAATTACACAAAAGGCAGCACAAGAAATTTTGTCAAGCGCCAAAACTTTCTTGGATAAATAAACCTTGAAGGACCTACCAGAGGAACCCAGTATGTGTAAAGTGCACCAAGCCTCATCTCAACCACGAACTGAGAGCAGGCCAAGAGCAAGAAATAAAGGTTGAAGAAGTATTTGAACTGGTTAAACAGCACCTAAAAAAAAAAAAAAACAAAACAAGAAAAGCAGATAAAAAAGAGGAGGGAGGATGTTATGCATGTTGAACTAAGAAACATTTCTGCATGGTCTCCTAGTGACTAAATGTTGACCTGGGGCAGTTTTGAAGCAGTCCTGGACACTCAGGATAGGTCTGTGTCTGGTTTGCTGCTGCCCTGAGGCAGTCTTGCCATGAACTCTACCAAACACAACCCCATCGTTTTCTCCAGCTCCAGGTTCTGCACTTGTCTACTGTAAAACCACTGAAAAATGGGGAAGGCATTGGAGGTGGGATGGTGAAAAGCAACTTTAGTCACACTCACCCCAGGGAGAAAGGTAAAGAAGTTGTACTTCTGGTTGTTGATGACATTGCGAGGGTATCTCTGGTCTCTCTTCTCCGGGTGGCCGAGCCAGACCGTCCGAGGCCGCGGCTCCCTCCTCCCGCAGCACCTCAGGCACTCACAGCACCTGCACAAGGACCAAAGGTCATTAACCACGTCATTTCCAACACACTTCTCTGGCTCACAGCCCCTGCCCACCTGCAGCAGCCCCAGGTGCCCCCCAGGATGCTCAGCCCGGTGCTGAGGCTGCCAGGAGCTCTCTGCTCACACAGATTTCATCAAGAAATGCCCTCCCCACGTTACAAACCCTTACTCCAGGCATGGAATCAAAGCAAGGTCAGGTCCTTCGGGAAAGATGCTGAGATGTATCAGCCATCCTTCCTGCACCTTGAAAATGCCTCTCTGTTCAAAATCACCTCCCAGACCCCAAAAATGGCATTTTTCTGTTGTCACTGCTGCTTTCTGAAAGCCAATCTCTTCCCCTTGTTCCTTTAACAACAGACCTACTGAATTTCACTTTGGGAGAGCCAGCATCAGCCAGATCCACCACCAAGAGCTTCAGAGCTCTTACACAACATCCTTCCACAAAGATTCATTCTTGATTCAAGAATTCTGCCCCAAAAGTTCAGCTCAATGCACAGCTAACACAGAAATAACTACTGAAGGAAGTGAAGGAGAAAAAAGTGATTTTCCTTCTTTCACAAAGGAGAAAAGGCTCCAAAAAGCAGCTTTACCCAAGGGAGTGTCCACACACCCTATTTCATCACAATGTGCTTTCCAGTTAGGAAAAATCAGTCAGTCCTTGCCATCAGGCATCTGAAACCATTTACCTTTGTTTATCTTTTAGGTTGGGCCTCTTATAGGGATTGTACTCCAAATATCCCCACACCTATATCATAATATTGACAAGAGGGTGACCCCTGGCAGCATTTCCACCACAAACACCCTGGTTGCTGTGAGAATGGTGATTCCCAAATGCTCTGCTACTACAGGGCTTGAAAAACAACCTAAAAATAATGCAGCTCCAAAAGCAAGCAAGGAAGGGCACGGGAGAATCTGCTGAGTAAAAAGAACAGCTTTGTGAAATCCCTGCCTGGCTGGAGTCAGTTTTTGCAACCTCCTGAATTACAGGGAAAGCAAACTGAAAACCTAATTAGACAAACCAAAGAAAAACTTCCTGCCTAGCAGGTTTTGAAGGCAAATATCGATGGCCAAGTAGAGAATATCCAGCATTTCTGCTGGGAGTCTCCTGCACAGCCTCACGGCACGAGGTGTGTGAAGTATTTACAGAAAAATGTAGCACTCAGTGAACAGAATACTACAACCAGCCCTGGGAGCTGCAGGTTGCAACACTTGGGCTGGGGAGGTTCCTCAGAACTCAGGAATCCCAGCCCAGGAATCCCATTCCATCACAGCCCAGGGCTGCAGCCTCAGCCAGGAGCTCCCGTGCCAGGGCTGAAAGTCCTGACAGCAAATCCTGACTTTTACACCATAAACATTCCGAGCTTTTTGTCTGAAGGCACCTTCTCCACCCCTGTGCTTTATTTATTTATTACATGATCTATTTTATTTTGGTAAATTACAGATTTTATTGTGTATTTATCACCTGCTCTGTGTTTTCCCCTCCTGTGCTTGGCTGGTGGGCACACAGCAATCCAAACCCTGCACTAGCAGGAAAGTTATCTCACACGAATTGCTCAAGTGCCAGCCCATGAATAGCTGAAATAAGTTTAAAATGAAGTTTTGGTAAGAACAGAGTCATTTCTCAAGCACAGAACCATGTGCTCATTCTTCCAGGCAGATGTTTACCACTCCTGCCAAAGATAACCAATTGCCTTAATTTTTAATTATTTCTAAAATGTTCAGTGATGTCTTAAACTTCACTGGGGTAGAATCAATAAGATCATTAATTCTCCTTTTCCCTTTCTCCTCTGGAAACTGAATAGTCTTAATGTAAAAAAGAGAAATTATTCATATGGGCACCAGAAACAAAGTACTCTGAGCACATACCAGTGTGTTTTCAGATTAACTTTGGTGCTCATTAAATAAAAAGTCCTTTTGACTGGAGCTGTCAGCTTTTCCCAGTTACTTTATTTGCTCCTCCCTGCAAGAATTTTGCAGGCATTGTGTAGTTCTGTGTTCTGCTGTTTCTCTGGCTACCACTCCTGTTTTTAAGTCACAAACTTGGAGGGAAGGGGCTGCTCCATCACTATAAAATTCTCTGCTCACAGCAAAGGCCATGGCACAGGAGGAAGTTTCTGGCAGAGAATTATTTGCATTATTAGGAATAACAACGTGTTTTCCATTATTAAATCTAAAGAATACATCCTGGGAAGGGAAAGACTGTCTAGGAAAACTGCTGAGAGTTTACATCGCTGCTGAGAAACACTGATAAAATTAATGTGCACTTTCCAAGAACTGGAATAACAAAGTTACAGAAATGTAAACAGTTTTCTATAAAAGTTTAGGAATATGTTCCCAAACATTTCTCCATTTTGCAGCTGAAGGACTGAAGAACAATCCTTTAATTACCCCTGAGGTACAGAAAAATAACAAGTAAGGGTAAATAACGGGCTTTAAAAATTATCATCTTACAGAAAAAACATGAAAAATACACAAGGACAGCTTATACAGCACTGTATAAGCAATTCACATTTTAAATCAGAACTTGGCAAAAATAACAACAGGAAACAAACTCACAAATCCTCAAACAGGGTCACAACCACTGCAAAGAACCTCTCTGGATGCAAACTGTACCTGAACAGCGGTACCCCGTGTGTACCTGCAACTCAGCCCTGCGAGTGATGCTGCCCTTCATCTGCAGGGGGATCCAAAGGAGCAGCAGGAACTGAAGAACAGGTCTGCTCTGCACTCCACCTGGGATTGTATTTGCTTGCAAAACTCTTTCCCAGCGATGATGTAAGAGGCAGTACCAGCAGACTGACTGGCACCTGCCAGGTGAACAGCCACTAGCAAGAAGCAGGTTTCATTTATAAATGCAGCGTGCTTGATGGAGAAGTATTTGAAGTACAAATGAAAAATGCTTCCACGTAAAACACACCCACTGGGAAAAAAGTGCCACGTTTGTGCAACGCTGAGGTAGCATTTGTCAAATTAGTGCTTAAGTTCATTGATGTATTTAGTCACTTCTAAACCAAGCCCATTTCTCAGATTCTGTTTCTGTGACCCTCATGGGCTGTGCCTGCACCTTTAATACACAAACCAACACCCCCACGTGACATTATTCCAAAAGCAGGGGACGGATTTTCCACAGCTAAAGAACACCAGGAAATCAGAGCACCTCACCCCTTTATGCACCTGCCCATGAGACACGGCACGTGCAGCGTTCCGGAACGTTCCGCTGCAGGCCGTGCAGCTGGCGCGGCTCTGGAAGGGGCAGAGCTGCAGTTCCTGGCAGTGGGAACGCACGGCAGCCCGTGCCAAGGCACACCCACACGGGCACGCTGAGGGCAGGAGCTGCCTGTGGTGACTGGAGATGGGATTTGCCATGGCCTCGCCAAGCGCTCCCTCTGCAGAGCTCCTCCTCGCCTCCTTCCCCTGCAGCACACAGGCCTTTCCATCAGCACAGCAGTGTGCTGCCTGAAAAGCAGCCTTGCAGGATTGAGGACTGACACCAGGAGCTATTTAGGGGAAAGCCTGTGTGATGTGCTGAGCTCCAGAGCTCGCCGCTCCCTCCCCGGCAGCGCTGGGCCCCGGGGAGCGAGCTGGGGCTCACTCCCATCCCAGCAGAGGATGGAGGTGATGCCAGGCTTCCCTGCTCCCAGGGCTCTCCAGAGCGCTGCAGCCCAGCCTTGGTGAGAACACGGCTGAATTCAAGGCACACAGCACGGGAGTTCAGAGCTCAGCCTTTGATGGGAGCGAGAAGAGCCACACTGCAGCTGTGCTCAGGAGCAGATCCCCACTTCTCCCTCTCGGTTCACCAAACACGTGGCTGCTCTGTGACACAGACCAGAGCTGTCTGAGCCATCACTCATCCCTGCAAGGCTCCTGAGCCAGTTCCTCCCTGCCTTCCTTTCAGAGCATGCCACAGGCTGGGGGTAATGGAAGCCTTGCCAGATGGCACCTGCCCTATAGGTGAATTAGACATTTCTCACTTTTGAGTTAACAAAGATTTCTATAGAGTCATTCATGACCAGAAATCCGCTCCCAATTCCAGGAGACCACACCCACAAAAATCTGTCTGAAAACTCAACCCCACTGGTGGGGGAACCCCCCAGTAGAAACCAGCTGGGGCAATGGTAAAGAGAAGCCCATCAACACCTGCTTGTCCTGGGTTTCCATATGCATCAAGGAACATAAATGGGATGGCTTTTGTTTGGGTTTTTCCTCAGAGGGAACAGAAGAAAGGAGGCCTTGATCATGGCTTAGGGTTCCCAGGACTCTATTGTGGCTGGGACACCAGGGACCCCTCCACTTGCTGGATGATTTCTTCCATGGTTTCTAACACTGGTTTGGACTGGCTTGACTTCAATGCTTTGCTATCCATCACTTGATCAAATACCCAGAGATCACATCTCTAAAACAAGGGCTCCTCATTTATGACAAATCCCACTCCCAAACAACTACTGCACCAAGCAGAAACCCCAAATCCAATTTATTTCAACTGCTATTGAGTAAAAACCCTAGGCAAGCTTCCTTCCACGCTGCTGGAGGTTTTTGCTAGCACTGGAAAGCCTCTCTGTGGCTGCTAATCAGGCAGGATCCACAGGCAATGAACCATAGCTTGGGTTAGCTGAGGGCAGGTTCTGCTAGGCAGCACTAACATCAGAACACCCAAGAGGCTCCTGCTGCAGATCAGAGAACTCCAGGAAAAGAAACCATTCCAGCAGCTTGGAGAAATCTCCCAGGCCTTCACCTCTCCCTGCTCCCTTCAATCACGTCACCAAATGCAAGGCCATGGTGGCTGCACCTTGTGGCACCGGCTCAGCGCTGTGTGTGACACAGGATTGCAGCTGCACCACTCACACCTCCCTGCCCTGCTGCTGCCACAGTGCTGACAACAAGGAATAAATCTAATGCTGAATAAACTGTGTACAACAACGTCACTTACAGGAACCTGAACCCAAACTACCGACCAAAAACATAAACAAGGCAAACGTGTATATTTCCCTTGTTCTAACAGTGAAGATTTCCTTCAATATTTTGGTTTATTTTGCTAACATCAATCGCCACATTTAAAAAAAAAAAAAACCAACAAATTCTCCAGGGACGGATGAAATGCTGTCATAATTAAGATAATTGACAGCCAGGTGACTTGGATACCATGTACACCCTGCTGCCTGCAAACCAACCTGTCTGCACAGTGCTGCGATTTCATCATGGAAGAGTGCTGGAAAACCATTTCCCTTATTTAACTTCCTGCATGGGAACACCGGTATAAACATGGATATAGACATGGATATAGACATGGATATAAACATGGATATAAACATGGATATAGACATGGATATAGACATGCATATAGACATGGATATAGACATGGATATAGACATGGATATAGACATGGATATAAACATGGATATAGACATGGATATAGACATGGATCTAGACATGGATATAAACATGGATATAAACATGGATATAGACATGGATATAGACATGGATATAAACATGGATATAGACATGGATCTAGACATGGATATAGACATGGATATAGACATGCATATAGACATGGATATAGACATGGATATAAACAAGGATATAAAATAGACATGGATATAGACATGCATATAGACATGGATATAGACATGGATATAAACAAGGATATAAACATGGATATAGACATGGATATAGACATGGATATAAGCATGGATATAAGCATGGATATAGACATGGATATAAACATGGATATAGACATGGATATAGACATGGATATAAACATGGATATAGACATGGATATAAACATGGATATAGACATGGATATAAACATATCCATGCGTCTCTCTGAGGGACTCGTCGCGCTCTCGGGCTGTGGCAGCGGGCGCACAAGGATACTGTATTGCTGCGCGGATACATTAATGGAGCCGGGGCCTTTGTTACCCGCAGCATCCACGGTCCTGCGCGCCTGCCCAGCGATCCCGCAGCCCGGCGTGCGGCACAGCGGGGACAGATGATGACAGGCAGGAGCCCCGGGCCCGGCCCGGCCCCTCCGGCC